CTGTTCTCCGTTGCCAGGTCTTTCTACCTTGGTATTTCCATCTGGACACCCTGGAGAAATATTTTCTCTCGCCTCCCAAAGCGCATCTACTCGAAGGTCTTGGCGACTACGGATATGGAGATCAAATATAAGCCCAAGGTGTTGATCTCTCAAATCTGGAACGCTATCGTTATCTCCATGTACCGCGAGCATCTCCTCGCCATCGACCACGTCCAAAAGCTTCTCTATCATCAAGTTCCTTCTGAGCAGGAGGGCAAGAGAACACTTCGTGCGCCAACATTCTTCGTCTCTCAGGAAGATCATTCGTTCCAGACGGAATTTTTCCCAAGCCAGAGTGAGGCCGAGCGCAGAATTTCTTTCTTCGCGCAGTCGCTGTCGACGCCTATTCCTGAGCCGCTACCTGTGGATAACATGCCAACGTTCACTGTCCTGATTCCTCATTACAGCGAAAAGATTCTCCTTACTCTCCGCGAAATTATTCGTGAGGATGAGCCGTACTCCCGTGTCACTCTCCTGGAATACCTCAAGCAACTTCATCCACACGAATGGGACTGCTTCGTTAAGGATACCAAGATTCTTGCTGATGAAACTTCTCAGTTCAATGGAGATGAGAAGAATGACAAGGATGCATCGAAGAGCAAGATTGATGATCTACCCTTTTACTGCATTGGTTTCAAATCTGCTGCGCCGGAATACACTCTCCGTACCCGTATCTGGGCATCTCTTCGATCGCAAACTCTCTACCGCACTATTTCTGGTTTCATGAATTACAGCCGTGCCATCAAGCTGCTCTACCGTGTCGAGAACCCTGAGGTTGTTCAAATGTTTGGCGGTAACTCCGACAAGCTAGAGCGCGAGCTCGAGAGGATGGCTCGCCGAAAGTTCAAGATTGTCGTCTCTATGCAACGTTATGCCAAGTTCAAGAAAGAGGAGATGGAGAACACTGAATTCCTTCTTCGCGCCTACCCGGATCTTCAAATCGCTTACCTGGACGAGGAGCCACCTTTGACCGAAGGCGACGAGCCTCGCCTATACTCTTCGTTGATTGATGGCCACTCTGAGATCATGGAGAACGGCATGAGAAGACCAAAATTCCGCATTCAGCTCTCTGGTAACCCTATCCTTGGTGACGGAAAATCCGACAATCAAAACCACGCTATTATTTTCTACCGTGGAGAATACCTCCAGCTTATCGACGCCAACCAGGACAACTATCTCGAGGAGTGCCTTAAGATTCGCAGCGTTCTTGCTGAGTTTGAGGAAATGGTCACTGATAACGTTTCACCTTACGCGCCCGGCTCCAAGCCTACAAAGACCAACCCCGTGGCTATTCTAGGAGCTCGCGAGTACATTTTCTCTGAGAACATTGGTATCCTTGGTGATGTCGCTGCCGGAAAGGAACAGACGTTCGGTACTCTCTTTGCTCGTACACTGGCTCAAATCGGTGGCAAGCTCCATTACGGTCATCCCGATTTCCTCAATGGTATTTTCATGACAACGCGTGGAGGTGTCTCCAAGGCCCAGAAGGGACTGCATCTCAACGAAGATATTTACGCTGGTATGAACGCGCTCCTTCGTGGTGGTCGCATCAAGCACTGCGAGTACTACCAATGCGGCAAGGGTCGTGATCTCGGATTTGGATCTATTCTGAACTTCACAACTAAGATTGGAACTGGTATGGGAGAGCAGATGCTGTCTCGTGAATATTACTATCTCGGCACGCAACTACCTCTCGATCGTTTCCTTTCTTTCTACTACGCCCATCCCGGATTCCATTTGAACAATATCTTCATCATGTTGTCTGTCCAGATGTTCATGTTGTGCCTCATCAACCTGGGTGCCCTTAGATACGAGGTTATTGCTTGCGTCTACGACCCGGATGTGCCGATTACCGACGAAAAGAACCCAACAGGCTGCAACGATATCCTGCCCATCTTGGACTGGGTTTGGCGTTGTGTTATCTCGATTTTCATCGTACTCTTCATCTCTTTCATTCCGCTCATGGTCCAAGAGGCGACAGAACGTGGCTTCTGGCGCGCTGCCACACGTTTTGCCAAGATGATGGGCTCCCTGTCACCACTCTTCGAGGTGTTCGTCTGCCAAATCTATGCAAACTCTGTTACACAGAATTTGTCCTTTGGTGGCGCCAGATATATTGGAACCGGTCGTGGCTTTGCAACTGCTCGTATTCCTTTCGGGGTCTTATTCTCTCGCTTTGCTGGACCTTCCATTTATCTTGGATCTAGGTTGTTGATGATGTTGTTATTTGCGACGATTACCATCTGGCAACCAGCCTTGGTCTACTTCTGGATTTCGCTATTGGCTCTCTGCATTTCACCTTTCCTCTATAATCCTCATCAGTTCTCGTGGAGCGACTTCTTCATCGACTACCGCGACTTCCTTCGTTGGCTGTCCAGAGGCAATTCTAGATCTCACTCGTCTTCTTGGATTGCCTACTGCCGCCTGTCGCGTACTAGGATTACAGGTTACAAGCGCAAGGCTCTTGGAGAACCATCGGCTCAGATGTCTGGCGATGTTCCACGTGCATCATTCACCAATCTTGTCTATGGCGAGATTATCGGGCCTCTTATTCTTGTCGGCATCACCTTGTTGCCATATACTTTTATCAACGCTCAAACCGGTGTCATAGATCCAAACGCAAAAGCAACACATTCGATAATTCGCGTTGCTCTGGTCGCATTAGCACCTGTTGGAATTAACGCCGGTGTCTGTGCAATGTTCTTCGCCATGGCTTGTTGTATGGGCCCAGTTCTGAGCATGTGCTGCAAGAAATTCGGTTCTGTGCTAGCTGCGATTGCCCACGCCATTGCTGTCATCATGATCATTGTCTTCTTCGAAGTCATGATGCTTTTGGAGGGGTTCAACTTCGCAAGAGCACTTATCGGTGTAATCTGCGCAGCCGCGATCCAGCGATTCCTTTACAAGCTCATCATCTCGCTCGCCCTGACAAGAGAATTCAAGAACGACACTTCGAACATCGCCTTTTGGACTGGTAAATGGTATTCTATGGGATGGCACTCGATGTCGCAACCAGCCAGAGAATTCCTATGTAAGATTACCGAGTTGGGAATGTTTGCTGGAGACTTTATCCTGGGACACATGCTGTTGTTCGCCATGCTCCCGCTTATTCTCATCCCCAAAATCGACATGGTTCATTCCGTTATGCTCTTCTGGCTCAGACCTAGGTACGTACACAAAGTGAAGTGGTTCTGAACCATGCTAACGTTCTTAGTCGTCAAATCCGCCCTCCGATCTACACCATGAAGCAGTCCAAGCTACGAAAGAGACGTGTGTGGCGCTTTGCTGTCATGTACTTTACTCTGTTCGTCGTCTTCTTAGCATTGGCTATCGCCCCTGTACTTGGTGGTGGTCAGGTCGCGGGCGCCGTAACAAGTATCAAGGAGTCGGTTGGTGCGAACAGCATGATCGGTCTCCTGTTCCAGCCCAACAACCGCACGTCTGCATGGTACAACGACACAGGACCCACGCTCACTGCGATCCTGTCATCGGAGGCCTCGGTCTTGGCCGGCGACACCAGGTCTGCTTCTAACGGTGCCCAATCAACAGGCAGCAACAACAGGAGGAGTGTTAAGTTGCTTTAGATTTACGGGGAGGGGGAACGGCTGTGTATATGTGAATAGAAGTTTTTTGGTGGATGGTGGGGGAGCAGGGGGCTCATCTCTCTGGAAAGAGCCGAATTGGGGAAGGAAGGGGGGGAGGAGGAGGAGAGAGAGATTGTTTTATTACGCGGTTCATGAATGTATTTTGAAGTTTTTTTTGGGAGGTGGGGGTGGGGGGTTCGGGATGGGATGATGTACCTGTAGAGGTTTTCGTTTTACTAGCAACCAAGTTGGCCTTTTTTTTTGTAAAATGATCGATCGCGCATTGATTGTGTTTTTGACGTGGTTTTGAGGGGGGTGGTCCAAGATAGATATTAGGACTGTGGGGATGCCTAGTGCAGCATGCATACATACAGTAGGAGAATATACAAAGCATGGAACTATACAAGTTTTTAACACGGGTGTGTGACAAGGGTTGGGTCTTGTGAGAGTGATATGGTTGGTGATGTTGCAAATGAATGTGGCTATGTCTACCTGGACATTGGCAGACCTTTCTTGAATCCCAATGAAAATGGCGCTGCCTCTTGCATCGTAGGCGGCGGTATTTCTCTCAACGTCGCAGCAAATAAGTCATTCAAGTCATCCGCGATTCCCCAAGGGAGCAGTTTTTAAGAGTTGGTACTCTGATTAAGCGGCTGTGGCGGGGGGGCAATCAATCTGGTGGTTGTTAGAAAGGGATGGTGCTCTATAAACTATATATCGAGATTAGGAATGGGAATGACATACGCAAGGAGCATCCCCCCTTTTAATACCACAGCATCTACCAACGGGGCATTCGATCAGAGCAAGGCAGTATGAGCCAGGGCATACTGAGCAGGTGAGGGGTTTGGGACAATCGACCTAGAAAATATTTATATTATCAGTTCAAGTATTCATATTTTTTATATAGACATTTTTTATATAAATTGTATATATATGGGTTTGCCAGAGGAGTAGGATGGCGACGTACACAAGGATTATCCCCCTTCTTCACACCACAGCATTTGTCCACCGGGCAATGGACGATAGCGTCACATGGTCCCCCAGGACATGCTGAGCAGGCTTGGGTGGCTTGACGGTCAGTGAGTGGTGATGCCAAGGTGGTGATGGCGCTAGCCACGAGGATGATAAGTGAGGCACGCATATTGTTTCAATTGACGAATATAACTCTCGAGAAGTTTCTATTTCAAAGGCATTTGAAAAGAGGGGAACACTCGTAGCACTGCAGATTTAATTCTAACCACGTTACCATTATGATAGGCTATTATCACAATAGCCTCCTCCAAATCCCGTCTCATCACGTGACACATACATAAAGTTGTAGCAAGTCGGCGTTTCAGTAAACGAGGTTCCGACCTCCCGCGCATCTTGCACGAGACCCTGAAGCCCATTTATCTTCCCAGGAGACAGCTACTTACTGCCGCCCAACAGCCCAGACGCCAAACCAACAACGAACACCCACCATGACAATGGAGCTCCAGGAAGCGCAGAAGCTGGTGCTCAGCTACATGAACGAGGCGGCGGACCAGTTCCAGAAGGTGCCTGGCTCGGCGATGCTGATCCGCTACGTCCGGTCCAGTTACCAGAATGATCCGGTTCGCTCGGCCATCGAGCTTATTCTCGTGGTGTTCTTTGTGAGGTACCTGCTGGCGCCGAGTTACTCGACGCATAGACAGAATTTCGTCACGCTGTCGGAAGAGGTATGTTGTGCTTGCTCTGTTTCTGGGAGGGGGAAGAGTGCTGACGGGGGGAATAGGAGATTGATGATTTGGTGGATGAGTGGACCCCTGAGCCGCTGGTGGCGCCGTTGACGGCGTTTGAGGAGAGTGTGCAGGAGAAGCTGCCGGTTATTGTTGGGTATGTGACCCCTCCACGATGCCATGCTGGGTAGCTGGGACTAATACTGTGTGTTAGCATGTCAGGACCGAAATCGAAGCTTGCCAATGGCCGCACCGTCACCAACCTCGCGTCATACAACTACTACAACCTCGTGGCCAACGAACATATCAAGGAGAAGGCGATTGAGACGCTCCGCACCTACGGCGTGGGACCCTGCGGACCCCCTCAATTCTACGGTACTCAGGATGTGCACATGAAGACTGAGGCGGACGTTGCCTCGCATCTAGGCACGGAGGCGTGTATTGTGTATGCGCAGTCGTTCTCTACGATCTCGAGTGTGATTCCTGCGTTCAGCAAGAGAGGCGATATCATTGTCGCTGATAAGGCGTGCAACTATGCGATCAGGAAGGGGCTGCAGATTTGCCGTAGCACGATCAGGTGGTATGAGCATAATGATATGGAGGATTTGGAGAGGGTGCTACAGAGGGTTGTGAAGGAGCAGGCGAGGAAGCCTCTTACCAGGCGATTCATCGTTACTGAGGGTCTCTTCGAGACAGTCGGTGATTGCGTTGACCTGCCTAAAGTTGTAAGTCTATCAATATTACCCCTTTGACTATCAGAGCTCCATGCTAACAATGCCCCAAGGTTGAACTCCGCCTCCGCTACAAATTCCGCCTCATCCTCGACGAGACCTGGTCCTTCGGCGTCCTCGGCCGCACCGGCCGCGGTGTCACGGAAGCCCAAAACGTCGATTCCTCCTCCGTCGACATGATCGTCGGCTCCCTCTCCGGTCCCCTCTGCGCAGGTGGTGGTTTCTGCGCCGGCTCCACCGACATCGTAGAGCACCAACGTATCAGTGCCGCTGCTTACACCTTCTCTGCCGCCCTCCCAGCCATGATGGCCACGACGGCGAGCGAGGCGTTGTCGATGCTGCAGACTATGCCGGAGATCTTGGCGGGGTGTCGTGAGAATATTAAGGCTATGCGTGCACAGCTTGATCCGAGGAGTGATTGGATCACGGTTACGAGCGCGGTGGATAACCCGATGGTGTTGTGTGTGCTTAAGCCGGATGTGGTGAATACGAGGCGGCTGAGCATGAATGACCAGGAGCGTGTGCTGCAGGAGTGTGTGGACGAGGTAAGCTCTTATTTTCCATTTTCCATATTCCTCGTGTTCTCGTATTGTTTCCTCGGAAGGGGATGATTGCTAACCCGGACAGTGTCTTGCAAACGGAGTACTTATCACCCGCCTCAAGGCTATGCCAGTCGCCCCATCCAGCACCGCCAAGGAGCAGGGATGGCAGCTACAGCCCGCGCTGAAGGTGTGCGTCACGACGGGCCTGACGAAGAAGGAGACCGAGAAGGCTGGTGTGGTTATCCGGCACGCGGTCACGAAGGTGATGACGCGTAAGGCGAACAGTAAGCTCGTCGTACCCCCTACTGCTTAAGTGAGGGTCAGTGCGGAGAGGGTGTATTGTATAGATTATGAAGAGCTCTGTCGGGAGACGGATGGGGGTTTATATACAGGGGGCTGTACGGGCTACACGAAGATGCATTATTATAGATGGGGGGATTATGGACGGTCTGGCCGTGATGGCGAGGACTATGTTTAATGTCTAATACTGGTTTATCCGATACTGAAGCCTGCTGGATATGAGTCAGTGCTGTGTCCTATTCTACTGTGAGTGTTGGCAACACCTTGGGGGTCATCCACAAACGCTTAACTGCACGTGATGTCCGTGGAATCCCTTCCGTTACACGTGTTCTGCACACCTCATCCGAGTTAGGTCTATCGATAGTGTTGCTCTCAACTCATGCCCTTCCCGTATCAGTCGTTCCTGACTAAAGGGGAATATCCGGGCGAGACCCGCCTCTAGAAAACCTGTTGAAACAACGGCGGCTGATACTTTCTTGGAAAGTACTCCCAACGCAGTATCTTTACTGGAGTTATGCACCTGAGCGGGGGAAGGTGGGACGGGAAGTACAGTACAACATCCGCCCCGTAGACACAGCCATCGACTTTTCACGAGCTTGCTGCCTACTTTCCAAGGAACTCGAGGGGGAAAGTCGTCGTGGCCCTGGCTGGCTTAGGGCAGGGGTTGGGGAGAGATCGGCAGTTTGTGAGATCGTGGGAAAAGGCTTGGCGATGGCGGAAAAGCTTGGCTGTGTTCACGCCTCGTAGGGCAGACGCACATCAATTCGCTGAGTGCAATGCCCTCTCTATATGTGCAGTTTATTCTAACAATTGCTATAGCATAACAGAATGCAAATATCTTCTCTGGAATCCCCAAAAACCCTTTGGAAACCCGACGGCTTCCGGTGTGGTGGCCCTCACGTGGAAACTGACTTGATATTGGTTGACATTTGCTCTGGACCGAAAAAAGAAAGGGCGAAGGGCAACATGACTCGTTACCATCAAATCCATGATGTCGGTTGAGAGCTCTCCCTTTTCTTCCTTGCCAGGTACCCGCACCACTGCACCCAATGAGATTTTGTGAGTAGAAGCCCTAGAACCCCTAGGGTTTCACCAGCTCTGTGGAAGGTGTACAAGGGCGTGGAAGGGTCCTCTCAGTATCCTCTCAGTATCCTCCCAGTGGACTACGACCGGATAAACTGCCTGTCTTCCACTGGATGGGCTTCGGTGGTACGCTACAGCTTGTCACAATGCTGAGCTGCTTCACTGTCACTCGCGGAACCAAGAACAGAGGCAACTTGGTAGCGACGACAGACTCAAAACGCCAAGCATAATGTTTGTCAATAGACGCTCCGCCCCAGCTATTCTGTCTTTGTCCCTCTGGTCGGGGTGGCTCTTTTATTCTCCCCGGACTTTGTGCCGGTGGTTGGTAGTGTATGCTTGGAAGAGTCCAGACCGACGGCAAGGGACCCTCGCTGTCCCTATGGACGGATCTTCTGTGCCTGTCCCGGCGTCCCCACTGCTCCCCACCATTATCACTGCGGCACCCAAGTACGAGTACATACTAAACTTCCATACCGTGTGCGTACGTGGGCCGTCGAGGACGTTGCCGCTGTCTCCCCACTGAAAACACACTCTTTTTGATCACTTTTGCAACCAAAAAGTTGAGCCAGTTTGCTCTTTGTGTGCTATAGTATGACTATGGTGGGTCAGAGGGCAGGGCCAGAGCGCCGCTTTCTGTTCGAACGTATTTGAAGTCTTCTGTCCCCCCAGCCTCGCGCTGATTCTTTCCTCTTCGTCACACTTTCATTTTACAAACGCCCACCGACCACGCAAGCCCTTTTTCTTGTAGTCTGCGACTCGCCCATCAAAGCCTCTGGAGGATATTCAATTCGCTTTCGATAACCTCCTGTCCATTCCTTTCAGTCGCATCTACAAAGCTTAGTCTTAGCCGGTCTTCGTCCCTGCCTCGTATCAAATTGCTCCTGCTTCGGATCACCCAAAGGTCATTCCTTCATTATAAATCTTCGATTGCGCCTGTGGCTGCATCAGATTATCACATTCTCTCGCTTCAGCAAAGTCTGAAGATATAGACACCTAGGGGTATGTCTTTTACTTTCTTATCATATGTCAAGATTCCCAAAATCAGATGCTTCTTGTTGATTTTGATACGTTTTATTTGAGTCGAGGTTGTGAGAGAACCCATGGTTCATGAGCATCGTGCCTGCCTAAAGGGTTGCTTCCGAGGGATAAATGAGAGTGGGCATGCAACACAGTCGCGCCAGAGGACAGGAGATAGTTTGCCTTAAATTCTTAATAAATTTCACCACATGGCTATACCCATAGCACAACATTCCAAGCATTTTTACCTTTCTGCCCTCACACGCTCGCTTTAAGGCTCTAGCAGTCCTTACGGAACTCCTCAAACTACCATAGAAACTTGCTGACAGCCGTTGCGAATAGTCAATACCTCTCCAAAAATACACATCTCAGGACTCCTATCCAGTTTCTCAATATGAAGACTGCTACTCTTTCTCTCGCGGCCATCTCGCTGCTCCAGCTTGCTGTCGCTCAACCTCACAGTAAGTAAAGCCACTTTTAAATCCTTCAACCTGGCGGAGGCGCTATTCAAGGATTGGTTACTAACGAGCCGTAGGACGCCATGCCCATGAGGCTTTCCATGCCAAGAAGGATGTGACTGTTCGCGACAACTCTAACATTGCCCACGTCATTGTCTACGTTGATCAAAACGGCACCCCTGTCTCCACCACCACCAACCTGCCTGCCGCTCAGACCGAGGCCCCCGCCGCTCCAGCTGCGCCATCCCCAACTCCCGAGGCAGTTGCGCCAGTCGTGGCCGACAAGGTAGCTGACACAAACGCATCGTCGGCATCATCTCCATCCGCCTCTGCGTCATCCGCTGATGGTTACGGTCTCACATACAACCCATACAACAAGGATGGCACCTGCAAGACCGCCGACCAGGTCCTGATGGACTTCGGTGGATTTGGAAGCGGTTTCTCTACCGTCCGCACATATGGCACTGACTGCAATACCGTCTCCACGGTGGTCGCTGCTGCCAAGGCCCACGGTATGAAGGTTTTCCAGGGTATCTACGATATCGCTGATATCTCTGGATCTGTCAATGACATTGTCTCCGCCGTCAACGGCGACTGGTCGATCATCCACACCATCTCCGTGGGTAATGAGCTTGTCAACAGCGGCCAGGCATCTGCCTCCGCCGTCGTTGCCGCCATGAGCTCTGCTCGCTCGCTCCTCAGAGCCGCCGGATACACCGGACCAGTCGTCACCTGCGACACTCTCGTCGCCACGCTCGCCAACCCAAGCCTGTGCGACAACGCCGACTACTGTGCCGTCAACAGCCACCCCTTCTTCGACCCTAACACCGATGCCGCCAGCGCCGGAACCTTCTTGACCAGCTCGATTGAGAGCCTCAAGTCGAAGCTCGCGGACAACACCCAGACCATTGTCATCACCGAGACCGGCTGGCCATCCCAGGGAACCGCCAACGGCCGTGCCATCCCATCGTCGTCGAACCAGCAGACCGCCATCGCCGCTATCAAGTCGGCGTTCGAGTCAGCCCCAGCTAGTGTCATGCTCTTCAACCCTTACAACATGATGTGGAAGACCAGCAATGCTGACCAGTTTGAGGCTGAGCAGTGGTGGGGTTTCCTCGGCGACTGCCCATCTGGCTAGATTTGCACTCCCGTACCTGTTGTGGGGTTCATGGTTTCGGTCTCGGGGCTGTGTCGTGTATTCTTAAGTCGCTTTTTGGAAAGTTGATGGAAAGAGTATCCTTAGCACATGATCCTGTTGTCTTCCTACCCCCTGGGGTAGAGATAGATAGACGTTCCTAGAATTCTTATTCTTGACCGTTTTTCGTTGTTTGTTTTTTTCTGCTTCATTGTAGGCGGGAAAGAAAGTTCACTTCTATGTATATACCTATTGTGCGTGCACGGAGGGCTGTTGGTATAGTTGTCTTGGTGGGTGGCTTGAAAGTTAAAGAGATTTATTTACGAAATAGAATGAATATAGAAAATTATGATTCCAAAAGTCGAGTACATGTATAGTTTTGTTCAACATCTCAGTGACATACGTGGGATCCAGAATTAAATAATTTCTTGATTTACTAAGGTACATAATACTCACAGACCTTGTGAAGCAGCGATGCCTCATAGCAAAGTACAGCGTAGTGAGCCTGATGTTACAGTATAATGACAACCCTGCGAGACCATCTCAGCCTCAAACCTGCATAAGCTCCCTAGATTCCTAACCCCCCCAATCCATAACGCCATATCCCGACAATCGTCGCACCTTCAAACCAGCATCTTCCCTAACGTCTCTGAAAAAATTACCTATAGATCCGCACTTTCAGGCTCTCCATCATCTCTCGCTCACGCCTCTCCGACGCCTCATTCTCTAGCTTTGTCTCAGCATGTACTTTCTCGAGTCTCAACCTCTCCTCCTCCATCACCGCCTTCCCATCAGCACCAAACATCCGCTCGTATATTGCCAGCGTACGCCTCTCCATATCTCGATTCCACGCCTCAAATGCACGGATCTTCACCTTCTCCACTTCCTCCGCGAGCTTCTCCTCCTCCTCCTCAGCTCTCTTCCTCTTCTCACCCGCCACCTGCTCCAGCTTCTTATCCCTCTCCTTCCGCGCCTCAGCAAGTGCGTCCGCATCTTTCAGCTTCTTAGCAAGGTACTTCAGACTGTGACCAAGAACGCGCGCCTTGGTCGGGACCCTCGGCACATCCAGTGGTGGAGCAGTGAAGAACAAGACCCGATCATGCTCGTCGCGGTGGAACTGGCTGCGGATGTCTTGGGGAATGCTCGCGTTCGCGACGTCGCTCAGGTGGTACACCTCAACCGAGCGAGGAGGGTTATACGCATTGGTGTGCGAGCCGGCGGGAGGTGCTGCATAGTTGCGCGGCTGGGGAACTGAGCGGGCGTAGCCACCGTCGTAGTTGGCGAGGGGGTTGGGGGTGCCGGGGTGTTGGAGGACAGACGCGTGGGCCGTGGAGGGCGGAGCATGGGTCGCAGCATAGTTGTTGTGGGTTGTGGATGGTGCGAACGATGGGGTTTGGGGAGGTGGTGCATCAACGGTAGCGTAAGAAGCATAGGATGACTGTTGGTGGAGCTGGGGAGCGGGTGAAGCCGAAGGGCGAACGGCAGAGGACTGCTGGCCGTATGAGTTCAGCGTTTGTTGCGCTGGGGCTGGAGATGGAGCTGTGTTCTGCATGTTGCCCATTGGGGTGTCGCTTTGACCGTAAGTTGTTGCACGTTCAGTGGTGATAGAGCGGCGGACAGGCTCCACGGGGCGGGGAGGTGGAGGTGAAGGTGTTGGCTCTGGAGGTGGGGATTCCTGTTGTTATTGTTAGAAAATACTCCATGAAGTTGAATTCAACCAAAACTCACGTTTGCCTCGCGGGGTCGCTTATGAACGGCGCCCACAATCGGAGGGGCGTTAGCTGCACCCCAAGTTGGCTTTGGAAGAGGGTCGTCTTCCTTTGCGTCCTCGCGAAGTAAGTGTTTGATCGGGCTAGGAACCTTCTTCATCTTTCTTGGCACGTCAAATAGATCCATTTCGTAATCCTTCTCTCGCACTTCGTCTGGTACGCAACTAGCCCAGGTCTTAATCTTGTTGAGCTTGAATTTATCCTCGTTGTATCTCGCCTCGCAGACGTAAACTTCTTTGTCAGGTGGAAATCCTCGTGGGCGGCCTTTATTGAATCGGGTGAAGAACATAACAAAACAGCGATCGACAACCTCGTCGATGTGGTGATCGCGATATTGTCCGGTCTTCACAACCTCATTCTCAAAGAAGTGCTTTTCATAGCGGTGAACCGTTTGTTCTGGCCGATAATACCAACAGGCGTTGATCCACTTCTGTCCTTCCGGATCTTGCCAAGTGCGGTAAATTTGAGCCACAATTGGCTTTGTGAGGTCGTTCGGGTTCTGGAGATGGACCCAGTCACCAACCTTCCAAATCTCACCATTGTGGAGGATTTCAGGTAGAGGAAGCCTGCCGTCTTCATCGACGTAAGCACTATCCGGCTTAGTTTTCTCCTGTTCTGCAAGTATCCGAGCCTCTCTTTGCAAGTCGGTGGCGCATATATAGACCTCGCTATCTTCAAGATTGTATTCTTTGGCGTTATCGAACATGAGCTCCAGATCTTTCATGACAGCATCAACCGAGTTATACTTCTTGCGCTTGGCCTTCCTCTTGATCATGTCCAGCGCAATTGGGTTCTTGATCTCTTGATAGTACTCAGGAAATAGAGTCTTGTCCGGTGGCTTTTCGAAGTGTAGAACCTTGAGGTCTCCCTTTTCATCCTTGAACTTCCTGAGACCCTTAAGAATGGTATTGATACGCGCTTCCATTGGTGTGTGGACCTTCGGTGGCCTTCCTCTCTTCTTATGTGCATCCGCATCTTCCTTGGAGCCATCTTCAACCTTGCCACCTTCGCGCTTGGTAATGGCAGCAGAGGAGCGGGGCCCCTTGCGTCGTCTCCTGCGGGCGCCCTCGTCATCAGAGTCATCAACATCATCTTCCTCATCTTCATCTTCGTCTTCATCCTCGCGGTCATCCTCGACCGGCTCGTCTTCGCTCTGCATTTCCTCGTCCGGTTGTGGAGGCGGGGAGTCCTCGACATCGGGGATTTCACCCAGATCGGGATATTCTGCGTCCTCTGCAGATATGATGTTTTGGTCCACAAGCTTCGCTAGTTCGAGTTTCACCATTTCGCGGAGTTTGAGGGCGTCGCCGTAGGCCTCGGCCGAGGGTCGATTGTATACTTGTGCATTGTGGGACATATACGCAAAATCCCTCACGTATTCCTTCCAGCTTGGGTACTGCTTCCTGAGTATTTTGCCCTTTGAATTGTATTAGTACGTAAGAAACTATAAGGTTGGTAGATAAGCGTACCCTGACTGTGCTGAAGGCGACGGGATGCTTGATGACTTCGTGGTAATCTGGAAGGAATCTCTTGTTTACAATGCGCTGGAATACCGACGTGATTTCACGATCGCTAGTAGGTAATTAGTAAAAGGTTATATATCATCTGCCGATGGATTGTGGTAGTTCTCACTTCTCGTCCTTAGCCTCAGTAAGGTGATCAACAATGCCCTTCATGATTTCTAGGTCCCTCTTCGATACCCCATCCGACTCCGGTCTCGACATCGTAGCCTCCGTAGCCTCGTCATGGATAACATTATCCTCCTGCGCATCGTCGTCCTCATGGGGCGAAGGTGGTTGCGACATCTTTGTCTTTATGAGGGCGGGACGTATTGCGACTACGCCGTGGCCAAACCGTGCTCTCAGGACTTGTGGTTTGCGACGCGATCGCTCACCAGAATCCCCCTAGCGCGTATCGGAACGGAACTTATATAATCCGACCATCCCCCACATAGCCCGGGGACGATGATAACAACAATATTATCAACTTATCATATGAAGAGCTGTAGGAACTTGTCTTATAGTGTAGATTTAACTGAAGAGCTTTCTAAGTGCTCATAAAGTTATATTAGATGACTATGGCATATTCCCAAATCCCAAATCAAATAGCTGAAAACCATAGCACAAGGCCGATTGAACGTTCTCATATGCAGTCTCAATTATTTGTAAGTGAGTGTCTTAATGATATCGCCTACAAGTACTAGGGCTATCTATGTTGAAAGTTATCTTATACCGCCTCTCTCAGTCTCCGTGTCTTCGTGTTCCGTGTCTTTGTGTTGCCTGTTGTATTGTATGGCCCTCGTTGGCAGTGGTTCCTTTGCCCCTTTGGGATTCCCATACAATTCCCATGGGAAGCCCCTTCTTTATATCCTTAGGCGCCACTGTAGCTACTGTCCCAATTTCCCCCTACGCGAACCCTTTGCACTCTCTTGTAATCCCCCCTTTGTGACAATAATAACGCACCATAAAGACTTATGCGAGTGAGCAAATCGTACAAAAAGCCTCAAAGATGGGCTTCCATGGCTATGGAGGCAGCGAACTAGATCACTCTGATTGCTTGATATATCCTTGCTCGGAATGCAGAAGGCAGCGTGGGCAGCCACATCCATCGGTTCGATCTGGCAACACATCCACCAATCCAACCAGCAACCCAAATGACCGCTGGTCACGTGTCAATGTCTTTGGATATGAGAACAGCGACAGCAACGCGGCCAACCGTGCAACTGGAGCAGACACATACACTGCTGCTGATAACACCGAGGATCTGTCGGGAGGTTTCCACCGTCTCGTCATCTCAGACGGAGACTGCACCTTGCGTGATGAGATGCGCCAGTCTGGCTTCCGCATCCCACCAACCCCTGAAAACGCAAGCCTTCGTCATACAGAGGGTAGCCAGAACCGCAGCCAAGTCGCCGGATTTCAACACCTGAACCAGCCTGAACCAGGTGATGGCCGTTCTCGCCTCTCTGATGAAGACCGCGCCTTGCGTGATGAAATGCGCAGATCTGGTTTCCGCATCCCTTCGGTCTCCGATGACCCAGCTCTCAGTCGTCCAGATGGTGGCCAGGATCGCAACAAATCCGCCGGCTTTCAAGCCCAGAACCAGTATCAAGCAAATAACGGCGGCTTCACAGCAGCCACTGGCAGCGTCCCCCACGGATCCTATCCAGCTCCCAGCCCATGTTCCAGTACTAGCACTTGTGTCTGTCAATCCAATTTCGGACAACAGTGCGGGTGCAGCCCTAACTCGAATCCCGAGATGCTGAAATACTCAAACGACATTATAGCTCCATGGGCAAGTGAGCATCCCACCACAGAAGACACACTGCGTCGCGTGCTGCGGAATAGGTGGTTGGCTTCTCAGGGCAGATCTCAGGAGTCCGCTGGAAATCCCCAAACTTCAAACCAGCCAGAGTCCTCGGCACAGGGCGCGACTGGTCGTTCTGCGGTCCCTAGGATCAGGTTGGCCCGGCCGGATGGATCGGAGATGGAATTTGATGAAACTTATGACTGAAGAGTCGGCCAGTGAGCGTGGCAGCCCTAACAGCCCTAGAGGGCCGGCCGGTGGGCAGAACGAGCGTCGGGGATGAAGAAAGGAGGTGAAGGATACCGAAGTGGAAAGCAGAAGAAAGCATCGACGTGTTCTGAGAAGTGGAACCGGTATATGAAACATCATGATTGGAGCTGCCTGGGAGAAAAGTTATCAACTCGAAGGAGTGTTCGACCGATCTTTGTTTCTAGACCTCGTACCTGCTTGTTGGACAGCTGCCGCGGTGATCAGGGGTATATGGAGATCTTCTGAGACAATGAGAGATGAGAAATGAGAGATGAGAAATGAGAGATGAAAAGGAGTTACCGTTGTATAGCCAAGCTCTTACTATACCACGACTATAGCTAGGAATGGAATGGTTTGTCCCTCGACTGTTGAAATGTGACTTGGACCTCTCTTGAATGCACAGCGTGATGTTTGCAGCTATATGATAGCTTCAGTATATTAATATCATTACTGGAATGAAGTCTTTCGAAAGGTTTCTTGTCTTGGGGGTAGCTGACCGCATTCTAGTACTCAAAGAAGTTGTTCCATCATGGATTCACAGAATTTGGACGCGGTCCCTCACAGGTTGTGGCACGTGCACGGGCCCCTTGGTGAACCCCCGCACAAACATGACGCTGCGCTGTGTCAGCGGCGGGGTTCCCGAATGCGGGCGCCAGCAGCAGCTCCGTCTGTTCCCTTGTTCTCTGAGCTTATATAAACCTAGGACAACTCTCGAGAAGCTGCGGGGCATCAGATTACTTTTCATAGTTCACCATCCCAGAAAGAAAACATGTCAGCCTGCATTTTCTGCAAGATCATCAAGGGTATTTTATCATATGATCCTTCGCGAAGATGCCAGAGCTAACTATCTGTAGGGGACATCCCTTCCTTGAAGCTGTTTGAGAGTGACAAGGTCTTTGCCTTCCTCGACATCAATCCGCTCAGCCGCGGCCATGCTGTACGAACCGCAACCAACGCCCCTTGAAATAGCTCCTATTAACTGTGTATAGCTCGTGATTCCCAAGTTCCACGGCGCGAAGCTCACGGACATCCCGGATGATCAGCTCTCTGAGCTCTTGGTAGGTTGGAGCCGAGGGGGATTGAGTCCAGTTTCTGACCGGTACAGCCTGTTGTGAAGAAGATTGTCAATGCCACCGGCGCTGAAAACTACAATGTTCTGCAGAACAACGGAAAAATTGCTCACCAGGAAGTTGATCATGTAAGATAGATCCGATTACGAGTATGAGCTATGCTAACGAACATATAGGTTCATTTCCACATGGTACGCAGGATGTCACTCCACTCAAGCCGCATTACTGACGAAGATTTATATAGATCCCGAAGCCAAACCTCAAGGAAGGCCTTTCGGTTGGATGGCCTCAACAGAAGACCGATATGGACAAGCTCAAGGAGCTCTTGGAGGAAGTTCAAGCGAAGATGTAGAAATGGTAACTACATTGCGCATACAGACGAGGAGGTAGACAGGAAATCACAATACGTATTCAGACGAATAAAATCCCTAAAAAATCCCAGACTATGTATTGCTATAGTTATGTGCGCTTCCTTGTATGCTACTAATCTCGGCTTCATGAATCGGCGCCAGGGCCCGTATGGGTGCCCTTGAATATGGTTCTAATATATCCGTCTTCCGAATCGGCAATATGTTCAATCAATATCGTCAGCTGATGTTTCCTTGGTCGCCACAGCTGCAGGGACAGCTGCCACCTCTTTGGTCTCTGCAACAGTGGCCACCGGAACTGCGCTATCCTTGGCGGCAGTTGGGTAGAATTGAATCTTGCCCTCAGGCTGAATCAACCCAGCACGGTCGTAGAATGATCGAGCACGGATATACGGGTCGAGCTTCCAGTAGTTGTTCTCGAGGGAAATCCTCAAGTCCTCGCGCTTTTTCCTTACTTCGTCGCTGGCCTTGTTCTCGATCCATGCGATTGTTGCTTTCTCGAATTCCACAGCGATCGCGTCCCTCTCCGACTGGATCTTATTCTTCGTTTCCACGTCCTTCATCAGGTCGTTCTCTCCAATGACAGGTTCAATGTATTTCAATTCCCAGTCTTCCTCGCCTCCTAACTCTTTGAGGATCCGAGATTTCGGAATGAAAGCTTCCATATCAGCAGTGCTATTCGTAAAGTTTACCTTACTAGCCACAACGGGGTCGAGGAGGCCCTTAATAATCTTCCAGATTCCTATGTAGCGAGTTAATAGGCTGAATTAAGTAAAAATAAAGGGCTAGGTACCTTGGAATACCCATGGAGCCTTGTGGATTAATATAACTCCTAAGCTTTCTGGGTAATTGGCTTCGAAACAGTTGATCATAAACTTGACTGGAGCATAATCCTATAAACAAAATTAGTACAGCCAATTACTTACTGACGTTGGAATACTCACCATATTCGCCAATGAGAAACCACTCATGTCAAAAACGAGACACTGTATAATATTAGTAAACACCATGTGTATTGGAATGCAGAACTTACAGCAGTTTCAGCAGGCGGTGTAACCACGAATCGGGCAATTTCAATCACATAGATGGTATATCTCTCCAGACTCTCTTCAAGCTGATCGCCTGCGTGGTGCAGACGTGCTCTAATAAAGCACATAGGCCTGTCTAAATTGTCCACTCCGTGCAAAAAGCTTTTACCTGCTCTGATTTGCGCCAGGAAATCTGTAGCCCGCCTCTTCTTGACTGGGTCATCACTCGTCGAATCTATCAGCATTGCCTCTTCTCCGTTAACCAGAATTTCTTCGTCGACCTGCATCTCCACGGATCGCCAGTGGAAGGTGGAGATCATCATAACCAGGGCCTTTTCTACATCCCATTTCCTTGCACGCAGGAACCTGAGTAGAAGCATATCCGGATGGTCGTGTTTCAACATGCTCCAGAAAGAACGCTTAATAACTTCTGGAGGTGCGTTCTCTAGAGCATGCTGGAACTTTAATGCCAGACCATACTTGTCGTCACCATTGACAGCCGGTGTCTCCTCCGACTCGGTCTTCTTCCCAAACCAGCCACGCTTCTTCTTCTTCCCCTGTTCAGATGCTGGCGCCGACTGCCCTGATAACACCGGCACAATAGTACCGTTGACACCAGCGCTCAGGGCCTTCGCCTGCTCCTTGTCCAAAACCCCGAATACTTGCAGCGTTGCAACCCATAATTGCTGTAGTTTTTCCTCCTGTTCCGGCGAAAGGTTGCCCACATGCCCGGGTTGGCTAGTTTCTCCCATATCGGCAGAGTTTGTGGAACCTGAGTTGTCGCGTGCTTCTGACTGTTGAAACTGGTCGCCCGATTCGATGTCGAGTTTACCGCTGTGTTTCGGACGGGCCGTAAAGAAGTACACTGAACCACTGATAGCAGCTAACAATATAGCAGCCGTCCAAGTCCCGATCGCGCTTTGAATTGGCCTGCGTGCGTATATACCAGTCGGCGGATAATGGCTGAAGTACTTCGGTTTATCGTCTCGAGAAGAATGAGAAAAAGCTCTTGTAAAGGTCAAGGGCAGCTTCTGTTGTTTCAACTGTGAGAAGATCGGTATGAGGGGTAATTTGTTTTCGCGTGTCCGCCAGGAGCTCAATTGTCTCTTGGATGAGAGAGTTGCGACACCCCGGAATGTCGGGATTGTGCGCGTGTAATCGCAAGGAACGACTGGGAGATAGTGGCGCAGTTTCTGAACGGAATTTCGAGATGATTTCCAATCGAGCCTTGCGTGTACAAGAATATCCGAGACAGCTGGCATAGGGGACGGTGCGAACTTGGTCAGGGCCTCCCGTCAGAAGTTCTGTTGCACAGATCTATAAACTGTGTGGGAAACTTGGAGGGACGTTGTACCTACCCCAAATGCGGGTCAAATTAGGATAGCCAAATGCCGATAGTGTCCCGACGTAGTATGGCCGCACGAGGCCATGACTTGCGCAATAAAATAACGAATGTGAGGTATTATAATAATTCTTGGAAACTTGGCACTGTATAGGGCTTCTATAGGTAGCAAGTTTCCCGATCTCATAATTCCCATCTTAGACCCTGACGAACGTCCGGTGGGAAGCGGACGACACGGTTGCGTCAATCTGGTGGGGACGTTTATCTGGTGGAGGTTAGCCGCGGTATCAAGATCTATTTGACGCGATGGCGTTTTGTTTGGTCTTGTTCCAGAACAAACAAAACGGGAACTATAAACAGACCGCCAGTGCAAAGAATCAGCCACACCACGTCACCGAATTTCCAAATCCCCAAACGAACATAAAATAAGCCCCAAACGCAGCAGCGATAAAGATGTCGGCGTCAAAAAGCCCACTCGATAGCAGCATCAAGCGGTCTAGCTCAGGAACACGTCGTCCCACCTCGCGCCCAACGACCCCTCTTCGCCCCTCCTCGAAATCCTCTTTCCGCGAATCTGGCAGGTCGAGTGTCGGCGGCAATTCCGATGCGCCACTAGAGGTATTCGAGCCCGCATTTGCGGAGTTGTCGGATTCAATGGCGGATTTAGAAGCGAATTTTATGCATTTACAGTTGATGCACGAGAGTCTGTCACGATTCAGCGAAAGCTTCGCGAGTTTCCTTTACGGGTTGAACATGAATGCGTTCTGTGTGGATTTCCCAGAGGTATGGAATGGAGGGGTAATGGCTTATCTACGTGGCTGACTTAATAGGCCCCCGTGGCGGATTCATTTCGTCGAGCTCGCCAACAATCGGAACAACTCAGTAAGAATAGTCACTGCGCTTTACGAAAACGTCTACTAATATCATATAGACCGATCAACCAACTCCGAGAGATTTCAAGGCGATTTTGATGGAGAAACAACCTTCATGTATGATCTAAACTACTGTTTCAAAGATTCAACAACTAACGACGTGGACAATTAGGACAACTGACACATCATTTGTCGACAACCCTCCAACATCATCGAAAGCAACTCCCAAATACACCCCTCCTGTTCCAGCCTCAAGAATAGCTGGCGCGCCTGGTCGTGGTGGAGCATCATCAACCGGTAGGGGTGGCATTCCCAGAGGTGGGTACCGGGGTGCTCGTGGTAGTGGTTTGGCAAGGGCTCGAGGAAGTACCATGAAGTAGGACTATCGAGACACCAGAAATACCCCAGAGACAATATTTCCGATAAAAAGGCATACTTTTATGCAGAGCAGCGCCATATGTGGTGCAGCTGTGGTCCGCTCGACTTTTCAACGGGAAATGCTGGCGTCGAGTTTGTTATCGCAATGAGAAGGCGGCTTCCGGGTACGAAACATGGCGGGGTCGGTTCTTCATGTTGCCATCTCAACCTCGATAGTCTGTGGCTTGCTCACGCTCGTTCGTAGCGGTCCATTGTCTGTTCGCAACCCAACTGCAGCTTCCGCTTCCTTTTGGGAGTATGGCTCGTCCTTCAATGCCTTGACCCTGTTATGGATTGTCAGTGAACTGTCAGTCGATGCTGCGTTACTAGCCGTACCTTCTCTTGTGGTTCTTGCCCTTCAAATGCGTCCTCTGGCTGTTCTCTCCCTCAAACCATTTCGCACATTCGACGCAGTAGAACTCTCCCAGGCCTGGCAAATCCTCTGTCGCTTTTGTTGCTTGATATTGTGAAAGATGCTTGGACGACAGCATGTCAGACTTGATCTGGTCAAGATCTCTATTAGAACATGGTGGTTAGCATACTTCAAATATTGGCATTCTCCTGCCTAGTATATCATAGTGCACAAATAAATTGTCCATGTAATAGAGCGATGGGCAACTCATACCTCGTGTGCCTCCTCGTCTTCGTCCTGGTCTTCTTGTTCTCGACACCCATGATTGCTGCCTTGTGTGATGAGATTCTTGCGGGGGTTGCACGGTGCGCGTGTGGTGGTGGTGATCGTAATGATTTGTTGATTTGGTCTCCAGACACAAAATTTCCGTTATACTCGAATAAGGTTGAGATATGTTCTAGGCTAAACCTGATTAGGCGGCTCACCACGTCTCCAGACCAAACTGCATTTTTCGCGCCCCACCTTTGCCGGAATCCACTCCAAGCCGAGGGATGAAAATATGCCCGCGGGCGCGCAAAGTAGCACCGGGACCGAAGGGAATGGCTGTGCATGCGCAGGATGAAGCTTGAGACATTCTGGAATTATCGGACACGCCGGTTATCATATTTTGAAGGGGGAAAAGGCAAGACATGTATAGTGAAGTTGTATGCTAAAACGCGAAAGAGACAACCCACTGGCAATCTATCGTTTGTTTGGGTGAAGGATGTGTACTGTAAGACGGCGGTATTTCGGACAGGCGGAACAATCGCCGCCTCCTCCTGTGTGTTGTGTGGTATCGTCGTCGACGGCGTACTCTAGACCACGGACTCCACGGACTCCTCCCGAGATATTATCCATAGCACCACCATTGATTTACTGGAGCCGGGTTTGCCCACGCCGGATCCCTGCTTTATTTTTGATAGGAATGTACTCTACTCCAGATGAGTACGAGTATGTGCGTGCGTGCGCATGTATCTCTCAGCTGCTCAGCTACTCAAGCTACTCAGTTACTCAGCTACTCAGCTACTCAGTGTTATGCTGTTGTGCACTGCCGCCACACAAAGCCGAGGAGATGAGATCGAGGCTGACAGCGGCTAGCTACCCAACTCCCTCAGTAAATCCCAAGTACCGGATGGAGCAGGAGTACGGCGGAGAAGTGTGTCTCGAACTCGTCGTCGCATGCCCTGCCCCACAATAATGTGGAAGCTTTTTCACATGATTATTCCTCTGGGCAGCAATATTTCTCTGGTTCTACTGTAGTACTGTGTGGTAGTGTGTGGCAGTGTGTGTGTGTGTGGCACTGTAATTGTGGTAAACCCTCACAAATGTCTCGTGCAAACCGGAGAAACAAAAAGAGGCCAAAAAATGAGGGTATATTCTATCAGACGTATGCAGCACCAATTGATGAATTGGACCTGCACGCGGCATAATTAGGAGCGGCTTCTCTCAATTGGGGCAACCTAGAACAGATTTTCCCTTTGAGTCAACTAGCTATGATGTCGTTAGATATGCGGGCTGGTACAGGCTGGTAAAGTCAGACTGGTCTCCAGACCCAAACCAACGAACGTCATTTGCTCCCACGTTTCACGAGAAGCAATTCAAGCTGACTAATCCATTTTATGCCAATGTATCCCCCCCCCATCCAATACACGACTGCCCAGATTGTACCCGTCATGGAAGCAACAGCTAATATCTCACCTCTCATTGGTCAACCCCCCCATCCTCACACTGTGAAACCCGCATCAACGGCAACGGCTTGGCTTCGGCGAAAGTCGTAGTAGCCGAGCTTCCTACGTGATAAGGCTTCTCCTGCTCTCCGCCCTCATTTTCTTCCTTTCTCCATCAAACACACTCTCTACTCCAGACAACCTCACAATGCTGGCGTCGAGACAACTTCTTGGTGCCGCCCAACGCCGGGCGGTCATCCAGCATGGCCTGCGCCGCACAATGGCAACTGCCAGCGATGCGAGCCTTGACCAGAAGGTCACCCAGAACATCCACGAGAAGAACAACTTCATCAACTACAAGAAGATGTCTGAGAACCTCGCCATTGTCCGCGGACGATTGAACAGGCCTCTCACCTACGCCGAGAAGATCCTCTACTCTCATTTGGATGATCCTCACGGACAGGAGATCGAGCGTGGCTCCTCGTACTTGAGGCTGCGCCCGGATCGTGTTGCTTGCCAGGATGCCACTGCTCAGATGGCCATCCTCCAATTCATGTCCGCGGGCATGCCCTCTGTTGCCAACCCTACCACCGTTCACTGCGACCATCTTATTGAGGCCCAAATTGGCGGCGACAAGGATTTGGCCCGTGCCATCAGCATCAACAAGGAGGTCTACGACTTCCTTGCCACCGCTTGCGCCAAGTACAACATTGGTTTCTGGAAGCCAGGATCCGGTATCATCCACCAAATTCTCCTCGAGAACTACGCTTTCCCCGGTGGTCTCCTCATCGGTACTGACTCCCACACACCCAATGCCGGTGGTTTGGGTATGTGCGCCATCGGTGTCGGCGGTGCTGACGCCGTTGATGTCATGGCCAACCTTCCTTGGGAGCTTAAGGCCCCTAAGGTCATTGGTGTCAAGCTTACTGGTCAATTGTCTGGATGGACCGCGCCAAAGGGTTAGTTTGTACGAATTCTTTGTTTTTTGAACAATTACTAATATACGTGGCTACAGACATCATTCTTAAGGTTGCCGGAATCCTGACCGTCAAGGGTGGAACTGGTGCCATTGTCGAATACCACGGCCCTGGCGTTAACGGTATCTCGTGTACCGGTATGGCCACCATCTGTAACATGGGTGCTGAGATTGGTGCCACCACCTCTCTGTTCCCCTTCAACGACCGCATGTACGATTACCTTGCCGTCACCAAGCGTAAGGATATCGGAGACTTCTCCCGTGCCTACGCAAAGGAGCTGAGGGAGGATGAGGGTGCCGAGTACGACCAGCTGATCGAGATCAACCTGTCTGAGCTCGAGCCCCACATTAACGGCCCATTCACCCCCGATTTGGCTACCCCCATCTCCAAGTTCAGCGAGGCTGTCAAGGCCAACGGCTGGCCCGAGGAGCTTAAGGTTGGCCTGATCGGTTCTTGCACCAACTCTTCTTACGAGGATATGTCTCGCGCGGCCTCGATCGCTCGCGACGCTCTCGACCACGGCATCAAGGCCAAGTCTCTGTTCACCGTCACCCCCGGTTCCGAGCAGATCCGCGCCACCATCGAACGTGATGGACAGCTTGCCACTTTGGAGGAGTTCGGCGGCATGGTTCTTGCCAACGCCTGCGGACCCTGCATTGGTCAGTGGGACCGCAAGGACGTCAAGAAGGGTGAGGCTAACTCCATCATCTCGTCCTACAACCGTAACTTCACTGGACGTAACGATGCCAACCCCGCTACCCACGCCTTCGTCACTTCCCCCGATCTCGTCGTTGCCATGACCATCGCCGGAAGCCTTCACTTCAACCCTCTCACCGACAAGCTTGTTGGCAAGGATGGCAAGGAGTTCCTCCTCAAGGCTCCCACCGGAGACGGTCTTCCAGCGAGCGGAAGCTTCGACCCAGGACAGAACACCTACCAGGCACCACCGGCTGAGCGCAGCGGTGTCAGCGTTGCTGTCTCGCCAACCAGCGACCGTCTCCAGCTCCTCGAGCCTTTCAAGGCCTGGGACGGAAAGGACGCTGAGAACCTCCCAATTCTTATCAAGTGCGACGGCAAGACCACCACTGACCACATCTCCATGGCTGGTCCTTGGCTCAAGTACCGTGGACATCTCGACAACATCTCCAACAACATGCTTATCGGTGCCATCAACGCTGCCAACGGTGAGGCCAACAAGGTCCAGAACTACACCACCGGTGAGTGGGATGCTGTCCCAGCTACCGCCAGAGATTACAAGTCCAAGAACATCCCTTGGGTTGTTATCGGTGACTGGAACTACGGAGAGGGTTCTTCCCGCGAGCACGCTGCTCTTGAGCCTAGGCACTTGGGTGGACTCGCTATTATCACTAGGTCGTTCGCCCGTATCCACGAGACCAACTTGAAGAAGCAGGGTATGCTTCCTCTTACCTTCGCCAACCCAGAGGATTACGACAAGATCAAGCCAGAGGACAAGGTCAGTTACAGCCAGATATCATTGAAATATAAATTGCTAACAGTTAATCTTAGGTTGATCTTCTGTGCACTGAGCTCGAGGTTGGCAAGCCCTTCACCATGAGGGTCCACCCCAAGGACGGCAAGACCTTCGAGGTCAAGCTTGCCCACACTTACAACGCTCCTCAAGTCGAGTGGTTCAAGAACGGTAGCGCTTTGAACACCATGGCCAAGGCCAACGCCGCCAAGGCATAGATCAAAAGATTGTAGATGGGTGTTTGAGCGTTGTTGGTATCAGTGTAGTTGTTCATGTTGAATGCGTTTTCTTAGTCCATACCTCCGTGTTAGAGACTTCATGTCTTCGTCTCAATATTCCATTGAGTGCACGACCACCAGCATCAACTAGTTATTTCCTCAATGTATAATGTTCGAATAACGGGATTCCAACTGATAGGGGTTGCTGGAAGTGGGAGAATATGCTGTGACGTCTTGTGATATACGTAGGATTAATCTGCTTGTATTGTGCTCTTTGGATTTTTCACTGTTCGTATGTAACATACTATGGTAACATTTCCCCTTATTCCTCGGCTTGTTCTCCGTGGTCAAGTTCCTGACTCTGCTCTGTAATCAAGCGAGGCTGACCAGTGATTATCGAATTTGCGGGTGTTGTGTTACTGGGAAACGTACAAAACTTTTGAGGACAACTCCATCGTAGATCATTAAACCAACTCTCCAATGCAGCGATAGATTGACGCAATGTATCGACGGGCTCAGCGGAATTGATCTTCACTACTCTTATAAGGCAGTGAAAGCCCCAATCCGGCTGACTTGGCGCCCTTCCGCCTCCTCCGATCCTCGAAACCGCAGCCATGGCCTCCCTGGCATCGATGATTCCGCAGCTCAACCTGGGCCGGACACGATCATATGTGTTCCGCCTGCCTCTTTTCACGCGCCTGATTATAGTTCTCATTATCGGCTTCTGGGTTGTCAGCATCCAGTCGGTGTGGGATGTACGGGCTTGGGGATCGTTGATACCAAAGGAGACGGGTGTGGCTACATGTACGGACTCCTTTTGCTGCGATACCCTTCTGTGTTCCCCTTTCTGGCGCGCGCGCCGCTGACATGCGACATTATAGTATACAGGACGAATACCTTTCCTCTCATACACGCCGGCCTCTTCCATGCCTTCCTGAACGTTATTGCGCTCGTCCCGTTGTTGGAGCGATTTGAGACAGAGCATGGGACCCTGACGTCCCTCCTATTGTTCTTTGGACGTGAGTTACCAGAGATCCGACCGGAACGACCACAACTAACGACTATTATAGCATTGTCGACTATTCCGGCCATTATATATGTTGTTTTAGAGCGAGGCGTATTGCGAGGAAATACTGCAGTCCTTGGCGCAAGGTATGCTCGCAAGTTCCTGTTTCTCCGTGCCATACTAATACAAGTTACAGTTTATGGGTATTCCTACTCCTCGGGATGGAGGCGATCAAGACATACCGGACGAACCCCCATTTTAAAGTAGGGACCGTCAATGTACCGACATGGACAACTCCTTTGGTGCTCGCCGTTTTCATCAGCGTCCTGGTTAAAAACACGAGCTTTCTTGGCCATCTCTGTGGCCTCGCAGTGGGGTATCTTTGTACGTATCACTCCTCTCCTATCCAGAGCTCTGCTAATAGTATAAAGTCGGTCTTGGATACCTGAAATTCCTCGCCCCGCCTGAGAAGATTCTCCGATGGGTTGAGGGGAAGATGAACCTCCTGGGACGACTGCCACACTATGTTTCTGTTGATCAGAAGACATACGGGAGGTTCGGCGTTCTTCCAGTCTCCACACCTGACCCAGAATCTGGAATCCAGATGAGTTACTTGGGGAGCACGCAGCGATTAGGTCCTTAGGCATCGGTTCCCTTGTTTTCTAGAGGGTAAACCGGTTGTATGATATGATTGTGTGGGGTGTATATAATGGAGGGGGTGTCGGGACAGCTTTGTCCCCAAGGGCGATATAAAACGTATGGCAAGTATTATAATGAAGATATTTATTCGCTTTTTCTTGTGTTTAATTCCTTATTATTCAACATCTCGGTGCTCGTGCTGCTTAGAAGTCTGAAGAGGGGTTGTATATGACGATGGTCTCCTGGAAAGCCGCGTAGCCGGATAGTATGATAACTGAAGCCAAAGTGACCAACAGACGCTGTCTACATCTATAGTTTTATGGGAATTTACATTATATATCTCACTGCACAATCCCTACCTATCGAGACTTTCCGGTGACACGAGAAGTGTCAACTGTTGGAAGCTGTACGGTGACGGGGATCGAACAATCGTCGGTGGCTTGCGGGGCTTATGCTAAGGCGATCGCTTCCGTGCCGCGACGTGTACCTAGTCACTGTACCTGAGCCTTGCGAATACGAACCACCATACCCCAACCAGCTCAATGAGCCCTCGAGCCCGATATGGCTCTGATATGTAAGTTCTCTTGCCTATGACAGCAGCTGTGCGCAATTCTGACCTTCAGCAGCTCCAGGTGCACTGTTGCGCGGCGACGGGCGACTTCTTAAGCTACCACCATACCTCTCCTTCTTTTGTATCCTGGTGGGTGTCACCTGGCTGCTTCTCCTGCCATTGAACGACTACTCGCGCAATACATACATATCCGAAAATGCGCTCCTGCCTGGGCAGGTCCATACCTATTTCTCGGGCAGCGACCAGAATATTTTCCGGGGTTTCAAGCAAGAGGTGGATGCTCTGACCGAATCAAGCAACATAGAGTATGGCTCCGGCCCCTTCTGGCGGGATTCACAGCTAAATTTGATATAATAGGATCAATGATAAGCTGGAAGGTTTCTTTCGAGCTGCAGGATTGAAAACCGCACGCCAGCGCTTCGAATATACGTCAGCTGGGAACCGACACCATGGAGAGAACCTATATGCGATACTACATGCCCCTCGAGGAGATGCTACAGAGGCTATTGTCCTTGTCGGAGCTTGGAAGAACATGGAAGGGGAGCTGAATAGAAGCGGAGTGGCGCTCGTGCTGACTCTCGCCAGATACTTCAAGAGTATGATACTGCTCCCAGGCGCAAATGACAATCGGCTTACAAGTTAATAGGATGGTCTTTATGGTCGAAGGACATTATATTCCTGGTCACCCCAGACAGTCGAGCAGGTCCTCAGGCATGGGTTGATGCCTATCATGACGCACATTTGTCCCCGGGCATTGATTCTTTGCCGCTGAAGGGCGGTGCTCTACAAGGTGCCCTTGCGGTCGACTACCCTTTCGACCACCGCTTTGAATCCTTGCATATTGTGTACGACGGCGTGAACGGTCAACTCCCCAATCTTGACCTCTTCAATACCATCACGAATATTGCAACAGGGCAAATGGGAATAGGGATTTCTCTCCAACAGATGTGGTCACACACCGACGACTACCAAGATCGCCTACAAACAATGTTAAGGGGCATGCTGCGGCAAGGGCTGGGCCACGCATCGGGAGCTCACAGCTGCTTTATACCTTATCACATCGATGCTGTTACATTGCAGCCGTTTGGTGATGGTTGGCAGGATGAGATGGCCATGGGTAGAGTGATTGAAAGCACTTTCCGCAGCTTGAACAATCTTTTGGAGCACCTACACCAAAGCTTCTTCTTTTACTTGCTTATGCAGCATAGAAGATTTGTCAGTATTGGCACATATTTACCGAGTGCCATGCTCGTGGCGGTAAATTTCACCATTATGGCGATCTCACTTTGGGTGCAGAGTGGCCGAAATAATAAGAAGTCCCCAGAGAAAGTCGATGCTGCCAAACCAAAGCTTGGCAAAGGTGTTGGCCCCCATCAAGAATCGAATGTGAAGAAAGAGCGGCATCTCTTTCTCCCAATGGTTGTTGTTGGCACCGCCCAGTTTCTTGGGGTTATTCCCCTGTATCTATTCAACCACAGCACAGAAGCAGTAAGTCCTCCCCGCCCCACATTACAAACTTATGCTTACAAGCTGGCAGATGCTCCCGTATGTTTTCGGGGGCTTCTCAGCCTTCAACGTGGCCTTGCCCGTGGTATTTTCAGGGGTGATCACAAATTATTTCAAGCCGACACACCAGCAATACCAGCTTATGAAGTCATTCTCTCTGCTACTTTTGGGGATGTTCCTATCAGCTTTAGCTACGCTTAACTTCTCTCTAGCCCTTTTAGTCGGCCTGCTTGCTTCGCCATTGACGTATGTGCAGCCTCTCGCCAAGAGACCTTTGGTGGCAATCGCAGTCGAGGTTTTCGTCAATCTATTAACCCCCACTGTGGTCCTATGCATTGGCAGCTCATATTGGCAACTCTCGATCAAAGAAATTCTGACAGAGGCTGCGTTTGGCTGGGACGTGTGGGGTATGACCACCCAATTTGTTGTGTGGTTCGTGTGGTGGCCGGCTTGGATAGTCGGAGCAGTTATAGTTCTCGGAAAGCCGGGAGATGTATGAACGCCCTATGTAGAAACAAATCTCAATAGCCTTTGTACAATGAAATGAAGAAGATAGTTCAAGGCAACCAAAGCATATTATCATTCCTGCCTCGGTCTAACTCCTTGTTGGGACGCAAATGCCTATTATGCGCTGCAACTGCTATTGTACAACCGTTGCCAAGCTCCCAGACGCCCAGCATGTCTTCCTTGCTATTCTAAGCCGCCCAGACATCCTGCCCTTTGGATTCAATCCAGTTCCCAAGTTCATTAACGCTTGTATCCCACTCCTGAAGTCGCAACCTCATGCCCTCGATCTGCTTCATATCCAGAACCTTTGGCTGCACCCAGTTGATACGTGCAACTTCGTCAACCTGATCTATGCTACCCCTCAACAGCCCCAAGCTCAAAGCCTTCATGATTAGGTGCTCAATCTCATCAGGTCGAACCTTCGTCTCCTCGGCAATCGTGTGGAACGACATTGCGCGATCATGCGGAGGCCTGCGGAAGACGGCCTCAGTCAAAGCAGAAAGGTAAATCTTCTGCCTCAACCCCTCCTTATGCGACGACAGTAACTTGTTCTCCGAAATGTGACCAGCCAAGACGTCATACGCAGCCAAATCTCCTCTGTTGAAGGCAAACAGCAGCTTGACCAACCAAGCGTCCTCGTCTACCAGGGAGTCCAGGATAGGATGCAGAAGCAGTTCTCCAAAGTTGTATATGGAGGTTGAGATAAGGGCAGCAATGCTCAGGTCGTATGCGCGGTTCCGCCTTTCCGCAGGTATGAGATCAGCCAGGTCGATACATGCAAGATATAATAGGGCGTTTCGATAGTATGATGCGAAATCTAGTTTTGCCTGATCCCATGTATTAGCTGATATGCCTGATGCGCCATGAACTTGACTGGGCTCACTTGATAGTAATCAGCGTTAACGCGGTAGAAAGCTGCGTGAACGATGGTTTCAACCGAGTCAAAGTGGTCTAGAATCTTCTCTGCGTTATCGAGATCCGCTCTGGATCCGGTAAGATCTTGTAGTTCGAGTTTAACCGTTGCAACAGCAACGATGGCGTAGACGTATGCATCCTGGGATTTTGGGTCGTTGACCTTTGCTGCAACAGAATTCAAGAAAGACAGGCGCTCTTGGCTATCTGGTAGGTTTATAATCAGTAAACGAAGGACAAGGCGAACCCAAAAACATTACCTCTGCACTGAGTGGCGGCGTTGAGTGCCAGGGTAACAAGTCTGAGCTGGTTGATCTTATCGGCGAAAGTGAGGATGAATGTCTTATAAAAGGCAAGCCTTTGAGGTCCGCTCTCTGGGCTGTTGAAAAACTCAACCAGAGCATCTGTCAACTGATGCCATAACTTCCTCTCCCAGTAATCTTCGAAAGAGATGAAGAGATGTTGAAGTTCCGCTGGGGCCGCGTCTCGTTGCTCAGCCAGAAAATCAGGAATCGTGTCGATATTCATGGCGCTACCGCAACGATGTACACCTGTGTTTATTAAGAGGTTGAAGTGTCAAGATGAAGTGTTTTAGTCTGTGGGTGCTTGATTTTGATTCTTGACAGAGGTGTTTCGTTGACGTTTGTTTGGCTTGAGCCGCAATAACCCAAGCTATACCTTGGAGCTTCGCTTGGGGTAGGCGGCAACGCAGACGCAGACGCCGATGCCGACGCGAGAAGCGAATCAAGCGCTAGTACTCCAGACTGCCATCACTCTACCAGCCAATTCCAACAACACCTGAGACCAACCCTGACTTCTCCGCTACAATGAAGTCCTGCAGTCCGTCCAGTACGGCTGCTCTTCGGGCTGCAGCTCGGCCGAAAAGCTACATCAGTCCAATTGCGTCCCGAAATGTCTCCGACATCTCAATTACCAGGACCGGAAAGCCCATCATCAAGGTACAGGGTGGAAGGTAAATACAGCCATTGGCCCTCAGGTTGATCAATACTGACTTATATTGCTAGATCCTCTCTTGGAGGTATACTCCCCGAGCTTTCCGATGCCAATTGGCTTCCGACTAACATCAATGTGCAGGCCACACTGCGACTGTATTTGGCGCCACCGGTTTCCTTGGACGATACATTGTGAACAGGCTTGGTGCGTCGCCAGCAGATGAACTTACCACTGGTCTATAATCGCTAACGAATTCACATACAGCAAGGCAAGGATGCACAGTTATTATCCCATACCGGGAGGAAATGGCGAAACGTCACCTGAAGGTTACCGGTGACTTAGGCCGCGTAATTTTTATGGTACAGGATCAAATGCTCCCAAATTTGTACTTGCCGCTAATTCAGTGATTGCAGGAGTACGATCTCCGAAACACAGAGTCCCTCGAGGAGAGCGTCAGGCATTCCGATATTGTTTACAACTTGGTCGGCCGGTCATACCCAACGAAGTACGGGGAATCCCCAAGAGAATATAGAGTCACTACACCATGCTAATTCATTTGTAGGAACTTTGATTTGGAGGACGTTCACGTCGAAGGCGCGGAGAGAATCGCAGATGCCGTTGCAAAATACGATGTTGACCGATTTGTTCATGTCTCGTCTTACAATGCAGATGCGAACTCCACATCCGAATTCTATAGAACCAAGGTCATTTTCTAACTTCACATATCCCTGGATTACGTTAACAAAAGTCTAGGCCCGAGGAGAGTCCGTTGTCCGTTCTATCTTTCCCGAAACAACTATTGTCAGGCCGGCCCCAATGTTTGGATTCGAAGATCGTCTTCTCCACAAGCTTGCCGGTGTAACCAACCTTCTCACCTCAAATAACATGGAGGAGCGTTACAAGCCAGTTCACGTATGATTTACCCCACGGACTCGGATCCATATTTATGGAGGCTGACTTGTACTTAGGTCATTGATGTCGGACATGCTCTAGAGAAAATGTTGAATGACGACAGCACAGCTTCGCAGACCTATGAGCTATTTGGGCCAAAGGACTACTCGACTGCCGAGATTGCGGAATTGGTGGACAAGGAAATTCACAAGCACCGGAGGCATATCAACTTGCCCAAGTCCATACTGAAGCCAGCCGCGACACTCCTGAACAAAGCACTTTGGTGGCCCGTTCTGTCTGGTGACGAAATAGAAAGGGAATTCATCGATCAGCACATCGACCCTACAGCAAAGACATTCAAGGACCTGGACATTGAGCCGGCTGATCTCGCGAACTTAACATTCCACTACCTCGTACGTTTCTTGCCCTTTGCTCCAATATAATTGTCTAACGACCAAATAGCAATCGTACCGCAGTGCTGCCTTCTACGATCTTCCGCCTTCCACAGAGCGTGAGAAGCGTGAGGAGAAAAAGTACTTGCACGTTCTTGACGATCAGTAGAGGCATTTGGTCTTGTCATTCCCGTCGTATGTAGACTTGAGATTTGTATATAGAATTAGTCGTGTTTATATCAACTGGAATCACTCCTGACGTGAAATGTGCATTTTCTCCTCGTTGTATAATGGCGTGGGAATCCATATGGTGAGGCGACAGATTGAATCGCCCCCCGTCGTCTGTGTATCAATGTGGTTTACCAAGCGATTTAGTGTCGGCTATCCTCCCGTGGTCACACTTTTGCAGTGACGTTGAAATCAACAATTGGTATATAATTTTTTCGAGACCTATTTTTGAATTGCAACCCAAAGGTCAATCAGTTGACTGAAAAAACGGGCTTGGATAAAGTAGTCCTTCTATCTCGCACGGCAATTCTATGGCGAATTGGCCAAAAAAATCCCTGATTCTATTTCGGATACACTAAAAGAGCGCCACAGAGGGGACATCCAAGATGAGCGAAATTCATGATGATGATAACGACATTCCGTTAGTATAATCTACGTGCTAACTGGAGTTTTGTAAACTGACCGCAATGAAGGATGTTGTCGGGATCCGCCCTTGAGGCGCTGAAGGAGTTTTATGCAGATCGTGATGCAAAGGAGAAGGAGCTCGAAAACTTGAAGGCGAAGAAAAACACAGGAGATATCCTATCAATGGACACCTTCACAGAAAACTGGAACGATTCTCAATTTTGGGTTTGCCCGCCTCCAAACCTCTCCCACAACCGTGCATTCGTGGCTAATAGTGGCAGTATTCGCAAGAAACGGCTGATATCTTTGCTCGGGAGCTCCTCGCCAAGTGTGATAACAATTCAAGAATTGCTGTCATCTCAGCTCCAAGTGCCTTTGTTCAGTTGAAAAATATCATTGTTAGTATCACCGTGGCTATGGATGCACTCAGTGCGCCATCTGTCTTGTTGACATCTAACACGTGCAGGCCTCGACATCGATGTCAGCCGACAAGATTCCGGAGATATACCTTCTTGAATTTGATGAGCGCTTTAGCATCTTCCCCGAGTTCGTCTTCTACGACTATAAATTTCCTCTTAAACTTCCACGTGAGTGAATTGATTGACCTCGTCCCGGTCCGGTTCTAACCAAGCACAGCTTCAATGAAAGGTACCATAGACCATATTATATGCGACCCTCCATTTCTCAGTGAAGATTGCCAGACCAAAGGTAATTAAACAACTGTCCCTATCCATGTGAGAGGGGTGCTGATTCTGATGAAGCTGCCTTGACGGCTCGATGGCTTTGTAAGCCTTCGGGGGCTGCCCAAAGCCAGCACACTACGGATCCAGCATCACGAGTGATAGTTTGTACTGGGGAACGCATGAATTCCCTAGTTAATAAATTATATGGGCCGCTAGGAATTCATACGACAACATTCGAACCAGTGCACGCAAAGGGGCTCAGCAATGAATTTTATTGCTACGCGAATTTCGAGTGTGATAACTGGAAGTGGAAAGATTGAATTATCTGTCCACGGCTATAATACACCTTAATTAGAGTCCGACTTTCGCGGAGTATCCATTAGTCAACCTATGATAAACTCCTTGCAAATATAACCTTCCTCGCGCCTGTTTCCGAGACTACCTACGCCAGAGACCGAATAATATAGAATAAAAGAAAGGCCTCAGCTCCCAAAACGTGGGACTCCGATGCCATAGTGACTTTATGATCATCAAACTTGAACCACTGTTCAAAATTAGTAATGCTATGGGTAATCCAAATGCTGCACACGTACTTGATTTCCCACTCTTGAATACGAAATGTAATGGCCTAAGCGTGTTAATTCCGCGATCAGATCTCATTTGTTCTTGCAGCTCACCAGAATTCAGCTTCCCGACATGGACTACAACGCTGAGGAGGTCATAGGTACAGGACCTTGCCAATTCAAAATTTTCGCTAGTATCCTGAGTTCTTGCTCGATTCGTGTATGGGAGCATATTGAGCTGGAGCGGGAATTGCACTTTCAGGTGTATTTTCGCGCTTGTACGAAGGCTTTTATGATGTTCGAACCGCTTTGTGTTACTCCGTTAACTCAAAGTACAATGTTTTTCGACGTTAACACGGCTTACCTTGAACTGAATGCAAAGCACGTTTGGTAAATTCTTGATGCTTAATTGCTTCCTTGCTTCTTGTGGGCTATCACAACTGCGGCATGAATATTCGCACCGTTCGGGTTGCATGTACTCCACATCAAGACACCGTTGAAGCGTCAATGGCTGCGACCAATCATGGCTACTCTCCCCGTTATTGTTACCTTGTCTCTTTGCTATACTGTCAATGGCTAAACTGAGATCCAAGAATGGCTCCACAGAAGTTGTAACTACGCCACAATTCTGGCATGTTAAGGTGCTCTGGAATTTACCGTAGAATGTCTGGTGAACGATACAATCGCAGTTGCTCGTTAAGTGTGAGACGTTAGAGGCATTCGTCCCTGTGGGGGAAGCATGTCGCTCCTGCCGATTCGTTCTATGAAGTTCTTCTGCAAGGAACTGAAAGTACTCATGGGCGTCGTGCTCGTCGTACCCGGCGAGCTCCGAAAAGGCAGCTTGTTGGCAAAGCCATGAATCGGACAGCATCTTGGAGGCAACATAGCTAGCTGTAGTCTCTTCAGAGTAAAAGGCTTGGAATAGTTCGTCCATGCCACAGCTGAGGCAGTTGTCTTGCGTACATTGTCCAACTTGATGCCCATCACGAAGGTAGAAGTTCCTAAGAAGGGGGTTATGCACAAAACTTTGCAGAATAACGCTCATAAAGCAAGTGCTTCCCATGTTAAAAATGCCACGAAGCCCGGTAGCACGGCATGGCGCGGCAGTCGTATTTATAGACATGTATGCTGTGTCGTCTTTCGCCGGGTCTGTGAAAGGCTCGTCTCGTTTTCGTTTTCGACCTGCGCTGAATTAATACGGCCATATCTTGACTCGGGGTATGTATGCTCAAGTTACTTGAAAACGAGCCAGTGCCAATTTTACGGAGTCTCAATTCCTCCAGAGTAGGGTCCCAGACAAAATCGTCACACATCTGGCAAAAAAGGCCGCCGCTTCTCGAGTCCACATCTGGGCGGCGTTAGCAATTGATTAACCCTCGTCGAGTAATAGTCCCACAAAACATATGGGCTTTGAGCTTCCCATGCTTTAGGCGGTCTTTGGCGGTGGTTGTGGTCGGGCATTGAAGGCAGAGGTAGTTCGGAATGAGAGATGTGACGGGGCGTTTGTCCACAGATTTCGAGGTTTGTGGTATTATAGGGGTATTGTCAAAGATGACCCGAAGTAGCATCTTATAGTGCTGTATAGTATTCGTTGTTACATCTTGGCTCTTTGTGAGAAGTCGTTGAATGTGTTCTGAATTGAAGTTAGTATATGGGCCTGTACAGTTTCCAGGACCAATGTGTTGAACCTACCACAACCGTAAATGGGAATCCCGGGATTCGGATCTTTTGTTTTGTTAGGTTTGGGTGATGCAGGTGTCATAGGTCGGGATCTTGCCATCGACAAGGAATAGCAGCTACTTCATGGGATTTGGCAACAACGGTCCGTCTTGTGCGACTAAACTGATAATAAAGAACATGAATTCGGCAGCCGCGTGAAAGTTGAGCGAGGCCCTTTCGGAATAAATGTTGTTCCGTTATCAGTTATCAGTACTTTTTTGATTGTGGGGGTGCCGAGGTTGTCCCTCAGCACGTCAATGTCCCCCAGGCTAAGAATATATATAAGGTCTTACATGCAACCTACAAACAAAACAACTTAGCTAGGCACAAGTTTATTGTACAGCGGTGGCATTCACAATGGCGACTCAACTTCTGCAGCTTCCCGAAGTGACAAGACTCAGTTCCCGTGTCATCCGAATTCTGGGAGGCAATCCAGGAAAGGTGAGTGCTTCAATCGCAGTCGCTAATGACAACCAACTGATAACAAGTGCAGTTTACGCTCCAAGGTATCTATCTGCCTCTGCTCTGTTTAGCGGGCAATTAACTCACACTGGCAAGGTACCAACACGTACATCGTTGGGACAGGCCAACAGAGAGTTCTGATAGACACGGGTGAAGGACGCCCATCGTGGATTAAAGCCATCCAGGCCGTTCTTCTTGCCGAGAATGCAACAATAGGAAGCACTCTAATCAGCCACTGGCATGGTGATCATGTAGGAGGCATAAAGCAGCTCCGCGAAGCATACCCTACAGTGAAGGTCCATAAACATCGGCCAGATGATGGCCAGATAAATATATCAGATGGCGAAGTATTTAAAGTGGAAGGGGCAACTTTACGTGCTGTATACTCGCCAGGCCACACCCAAGATCATATGGTACTTATTCTGGAGGAGGAGGATGCCATGTTCACCGCGGATAACGTTTTGGGGCATGGCACTGCGGTCTTCGAGGACCTCTCAAGCTATATAGCTAGTCTGAAGAAGATGGATACTATGTTTGGCGGTCGAGCATACCCAGGGCATGGAGATGTCATCGACAATGGTAGGGCAAGAATCTCAGAGTACATTCAACACAGACAGCAGCGAGAAGATCAGGTTCTTCAAGTACTAAGATCGCCAAACCCATCAGCAAAGGGGAGCAATTCAGAGCAGAAATCCGGTTGGGCAAGCATGGAAATTGTGAAAGTGGTATACAAGGATGTGCCAGAGCACTTACATGTCCCGGCTCATGGGGGGGTAATGCAGGTTTTATACAAGTTACAAGACGAAGACAAGGTCGTCGAGGACGAGTCAGATGGAACCTGGAGAATACCAGAAAAGGCAGCTTTGTGAAAATGGAATTTATGTCCAAACCTAAGCACTATAAGATTGCACCCTTTGCAACCAACCATTTCAGATCTTTTGTGCCTATATAATTACAGTAGTACTAACGCCAATTACATTGTATACCCACCAAATCTTTCCGCCATCATTGAAGTAATTTCTCTGCCTTTCCATCAAGTCTTTGAGTCGAAAACGCGCAAAACTTATCCTTAATTGCAACAACTTCGTAAGTGCCTTCTTGAGATGCTTGCACGGTTTTGCTGTGCTCAAATGAGATATCGTGCTTTGTCTCCAACACCTGAGACTTGTGTCCTTTTCTTGCGTTTGTGCTTCTGGTATATGTAAATTCGAAAGGCGGCGTCCCCCAAAATTCGAAGAGGATCTGTGCCTGTCCGCCCTCATGGATGTCAACTGAAACCTGCCTGCCTTTACTAATCTTCACGCTTGGCATCTCGTGGATCGTCTTGGTGATGCCAATCTTGGCCTTGCACTCACTAGCCCGATCCGAGATGGAAGTGATGGTGAAGTTACCGGGTTTTTCTGCAATGCGCCTGAAATTCGTACTTGAGGATTTGGCTTTCCTTTGTACGTCGCCGAAATCGTAGTAAATATCAAAAGGCGGCGTGCCGGATAATGTGTAAGAGATCCGATCCCCAACACAATAATCCACTTTAGGCTCGAGCGCATAGATGGTTGGGACATCAAATACCTGCACTTGAACCTTGGGCGCTCCATATTCTAGCTTTGTTTGGCAGCCACGTGAATCGCGGACCTTACGCACGCTCAAATGATGGGCCCCAAGCGACAACACCCTATGAGGGATACGGAAATCGTAGTGGTTGGAATCGATGTTGGCGAGCTTTACCGTTTCAGGTCTGGAACTGCTCTGGTGCTTGATATCGATCTCCAGGTAGAACGGAGGTAGGCCGTGCAATTCAATCGGAATAACCTCATCACCAGATTCTTCTTCTTTGCAGTATTTGTAAGACTGGCCTGGTTTCACAAATGTGGCCGAGGGTTTCGGGTTCACCGTTTGCTGAACTGTTAATGCAGTGTGCTTTTTGGGGTCATGATCGTAAGCGTTATCAGAAAGCTCGTTGAAGGCATATGTCTGAGAGCCGGCCTTGCTCGTATCCATCGGAATGGTTACGCTACCCAAGGCAGCATCTATCTCTTTGACATTGACGGATTGCGACCCACGGTCAGGCTTGTGATGGTGTTGGTACTTGAGATGGTACGGCGGAGATCCTTCATATTGTTAAAAATAGTCCCAAACATTTTGAATGTCTTGCTTACCAGAGAGTTTAATTTCCATTGCGTCCACATCACCCTCACAAACTTCGCGTTTCACGTATCTGTTACCTTGCTGCTGGATTCCTGAGCTATCGGAAATCCTCAGTTGTGGCCGAGCAAGCCAGTTCACCTCAAACGAGGAGGCTGGCTCATCGACCGTGCCAGGGCATTGTCTATCATGGACGCTTTCGAGTTTGTAGATACCGCGTCCATTGATTTGGATGTAATCATTGCTTCGCTGTTTCACAACCTTCTCGATCTTCGATGTGTCGTTCAAGTTGCGGTACGTTATCGTCCAGGGGGCTTCGCCCTCCAGCCGAAGCGGTAAGTTAACAATTTTATCCTCCAGCGTCATTACAGACCTCCTAGACTCAATTTGAGCCCAGGACGCTTTCGGTCGCTGCCGTCGGACATTAATCCTAATCTCGTCATTGAGAAAAATCTTGCAGCCAGTTTTGTCTTGTGCGCTCACAAGAGCAAGGGAGTAGTCCCCGCCACGCGTCAGCGGGTCCGTCGTGATTGTATACTGGTATGCGTCGATATCTGACACTCTATGCTTCTTCCGTTTCCCACCGTAGGCTAGCTCATATTCAAGTGTGAATGGAGGCTCGCCAGATAGTAAGACTTTAGTTTGAACCGGCTCGTCAATGCAAGCCACGACTTGGTCAAAGCTGACAAAATACGCAGATGCTGGGGGCTTCACGTCTTGCTCGAGGGTTAGTCCAGGCGAAATTATCGGATGGTCCTTGTATACAGCATCGTCGATGCTTGTAAAGCGGTAAATGAAGTGGCCTGCCTCCCTAGGTTTGAGCTCTAGCTGATGTCTCGAGCCATCAATTTTGATCTGCTGGCGCTCGACGTTTTTATTCTGTTCAATTTCGTACCTGACCACGAACGGTGGAGTGCCACTCAGATCCATATCCACCATGATCCCGATTGAATTGTCAGCGCATTTGTCGTGAATATCCTCCGACGAAATTGCCAAGTCGGGTTTTGGCGGGTTCATGAGTAGGACCGACGATGGTTCTCGGATTTCGCCTTCACAGTGTTGGCTCGAGATGCTCAGAAGGGTATAAAGGCCAGGTTTATGAATGGGGGGTCGTTGACGTGAAGACTTTGTAGTAAACTCCATAACAATAGACTCGCTGCCGTGATCGCCATTCGTGGCAAGGGTATCAATAGGAGAAAACCGATAGGTAATCACGTCGCCGTATTGTTCAGAGGATCCAGCCGAAGAGCTGAGCTTGATAGGAAGCTCTGCCGAACGTCCACTAGCAACTCGTAGCTGGTTACCAGTTGCGACCAGATCCAGTTGCGCAACAGGTCGCTCGTGAACTGTGAATGCATGTTCGAGGTGGGTGCCTTTAGAGTGGATGGTCTCGCCTTCCTCTCCTCGGGCTGAGAAGTTTGCTATATTACCAGTAGCATCGTGTATTTCGTCAATAGAATATAGCCAGCGCCCAGAGGACGCCATAGATTCATTCAGCCGCACATCTATTGAGTGTAATCCGCCCCAGGACATATCTTCCTCGTAAGTAGCAGCAAACGTCGAGGCACGAGTTGCGCCTAAAAGTGGCGACACCAAATCTTCAGGCTGAAGGCTTTGGAAGTGGAAACTTTCATCCATTTCATTGATTCGTCGGCTGTATACGATTTTCAATGGTGGGGTACCGGTAACTTGGATTGTTAAGTCGGAAAGGTCGCCGATACATTTGTTTGCCAGAGAAGGCTGGATCACTGCTTTGGGGCAGAGAACAACCAGTGTATCAGACATGCGGCGTTGGACCTCCAGATTTGACTTCTCCATGACGGTCTGTAACCTGTACAGACCTGGCTTTTTGATAGCATAGTCGAGCGTCAACGTATCGGAGTCTTTAGGGCGTCGTTTCTCAGCTTGTTTCTTGAGAGTCTGTAGTTCCTTTTGGTTAATAATTATAGACTCATTTTTGCTAGTATCAAAGTCCAAACGAAGAAGTTCGATATAAACGGGATCGGTCTGGTTTAGTCGTATGGGTAATTTCACAATCGAATTCTTGTTTTCGATGCAAAATGGGAGGCCGTCTGGATTCAGCGTCACAGAACTATCATCCAGTAAGCAAATGGAGTGGGAAGAGGGGTCGGTGCTAGACGTACCCTTCGGGCAATATATTGATGATCTGCTTGCCCATGATTAGGGAAGAGTTGTGTAAAATGCTGGCTGGCTTCACCCGATTTTCGGATATGGATAACTCGCGATCGTAGAGATGCCGGGCCACAACAGCCAGCCCAGCTTCGATTGGGATCTTTGTCAAGTCGTCAGTAAATGAGAATAATCAGATGGGGTCCTCCACTCACTGGAACTCTAAACATCAGCATACCATTCACGATGGCATGTATCAGGAATATCCCAGTTGTGGCCGTGTTGGACCATTCCAGCCAAGGTATCCGCAATTCTGGAAGCCCGTACAAAACGATCCCATCCAATGCAACCCATTTTATAAAAAGCCAGAACGACTCGGCTTCATCTTCAACAAGATTTGACCAGTCGTAAAGACGCCACGCCAATAGAGCAATATACAAAGCGCAGACATATAGCCTTTGGCTCGGTGCATCTAGCACCGTGAGAGGAATCAAGGGTTGAGATGTTGTCGTGGGGGCTCTGGCTGAGCGAGATATAGCTTGTAATTGAATTCTAGACCCTTCTCCTCCAGATGAGGGTGTCTTCGAAGCTGTTCGCTTCTGGCTTTCTGGAGTCGAAGGGTATGAGGACCTCAGACGAGGAGTTCCGTTCATGGCATAGTCTTGCGAGGGGTCTTTTGAGGTCCAAAGGGACACTCAGTCCAAGCTATTCGAAGATGGTAGAAAGCGCAATATGACCCGTGTATCGCAAAGGTAGCATGAGAATACCTTTGCTTCGATGGCGTTTGTTGGCGACACTTTGTGATGTTGACAGTTTTTTTTATTTTAATAGATTGGTGCTGCAAGCAGCAGTAGACGCGCCGACCGACGCGGCGACAGCAAAAGGTCAGGGTGGTCTGTGCCCCCTTCACTTCAGGCACGACGCACTCACTCAACTGACCGACTACACTCCACCAAACACGTGCTTCATACTTAACAAAGGTCACAACTATTACATCTATAAAGGATTTATGGTTTTTTAAAAGGCCATTAGTCAATCACTACATCATGGTCAACCACGATCAAATTGAATGAATATGTCTGGCCGGTCCAAGCTGAGTAACTCAAGCTCACAGGTTCCTCGAAGGTCCGCTCGCCATAAGACCGGCGAAGGGACAACACCAGCTCCAGAATTCGAGGCCGAAGGGAATGCAGCAACTCATAATGTTGACACTTCCTCTGAGCCTCCGCAGCTGGAAGAAAAAGAAGACGTAACATGTGAAGCCAGTGCTCCAAAACTTGAGGATAACCCTCATAAGCAAAGGCCCAAAAGAGCATCCAAGCGCCCTCAAACCCCAAAGTGTCATATAGATGACCCTCTGGATTTTATTACGAAGGCAACAACAAAATCAGACCTTGACAAGTGGAAAGGATGGTGCGAGGTTGAATCGGAGCCTGTATGTAGTCTCCTGTCTTAATCCTTTAGATGCGTTGTATTGTCCCTCGTGGGGACTTGTTCACCATGCTTATCACTCATTCAGGCCTTCTTCAATGTAATTCTTCGGCACCTCGGGGTGACTGGTATCAAGGTTCAGGAAGTATTTAGTTTGGATGATGAGATGCTAAGTTTCCTGCCGTTAGTGCCTCCTGGTGAAGTATTTGATGATTGACACTGACGACTTCTAAAAGGAAGCCAATTCATGGGTTGATTTTCCTGTTTCGGTTCGAGGAGGATGACCCAGCAATGCAGGAGGCAACTTGCCCAGACAATATCTGGTTCGCAAACCAGGTGCGTTGATCTCTGATTATGAAGTACCAATCCATCTAACTCTTGTCCCAGACTATAAGCAACGCATGCGCGACTATCGCCCTGCTTAACATAGCAATGAATACCCGGGGAGTTGACCTTGGACCAACCTTGAATTCGTTGAAGGATTTCTCAATGCCATTAACTCCTGCACTTCGCGGATACACAGTCGGCAATCACGACTATCTTCGGAAAATTCATAATTCATTCTCGCGGTAAGTTCGATCTGGGTCTCCAATGATGTACGGGGGTACTAATAATATAAATCTTAGGAAGATGGACATGCTCAATTCTGACTTATTCCTTTCAAATGATGTCACATCGAAGGCCAAGTTACCAGGGAAAACGGGAAAAAATGTCGAGCAAGAGCAGGCTGGTTTTCACTTTATTTCGCTTGTCCCAATTGATGGCAAACTATGGAAACTAGACGGGCTAGAAAGGCAACCCATGAACCTTGGTAAGGATAGTGTCTCTTTTTAAAGCCACGCCTCTAACACCCTTGCAGGAGAGTACGTTGGTGACGACTGGATGGGTCTCGCCCGGTCTATTATTGAAAAACGTATGCAGAAGTACGACGGAGATCAATTTGAGTTCAGCCTTCTTGCACTATGCCAAAGCCCTCTACTCGCCGTTCACAACGATCTCGCGGAAAATATCCGGACAACATCCGCTGTCGAGGGACGGTTTGCGAGCTTTCAACCGGATTGGCGAGGTTTCGTCGACAGCCAGTGTTTGGAAAAAACCCTCTCGGGGCCAAACGGCTCCTATGGTATCACCGCGCAACATTTGGAGTCCGTGCCAGCCTCTGCTCCTATTCTACAGGAGATTCAAACCTCAACTATCACGACGGAGCGCCTACTTGACCTCTGGAAACAGCTTTCTGATTCACAGGCGCAAATGAGAGCTTCATACATTGAAGAGGAAACAGCCATTCAGCAGGACGAAGAAAGAGCAGCAACTCGGTGCCACGACTACACTCCCATGGTTAATACTTGGCTGGCTGCACTTGCTGATAAGAATGTTCTCAAATCCCTAATAAATGAGGCATCACATGGTTACGACCATGAGTAATTAACGAGGTTAACGGGACACGTTCAGGTAGTGAAATTCTCCAAAGAATATGTCTCTACTCGAATATAGTATTGTTTTTGCCATACAGCCATGCTAATCATCGGGGTATTCGTCCCGTATATTTGACACAAATCTGTGCCTCAAGCCATCCCAGCGCTTGAAGAATCTCCCGGCCAGACTCATCAGCGAAACTGGGTTATCCGGTTCAATCAGTTCCACGTTCTCCTCGGCCACATAGCGAATACTAGTATCTTCAACACTACTCATCTTCGTCAGCGTGCATCAATGTGTGGAGATTAGTGAGGTCTTACAGTGCGTGATAGAAACTCTGGTGCTGTCCTTTGCGCAGCGTGTCGACGTGATTCTGCTCCATCCATCTCGAGTTCATTGTGCACTCAACATCCCATCCCGTAATAACTGCCGTGTAACCATATCTTTTGTGTTGAAATACCTGGCCAACTTCGTACTGGATCTTTCCATGGGGTTTCTGGCTATCTCGTCGTCTGACTTGCTTCGGCATGATATCACTTGCCCGTATAACTCGGATTGCTTCGACGAGGCGGGCGAGGTCGGTACGCACCAAAAGGCTGGGGGATGCACAGATATACTTCTCCAGGAAGACGCCATCCATATGATAAAGGTTCTCAAACCGTTCTAATATTATAGGAATAAACTGTACCTGGTCAATTGAAACCGCGCGTCCGGGTATACTGGAGAGTATGAAGTTCGACCAGAGAGCTGAGTAAAATGCGTTGTCCATATCAGCAAATGGATTTCCATAAAGTTTAATAGAAGCATGGCCAGCATTGTTTGCTCCGTTTCTACCGAGGCCTCGAAACTCATGGATGGTGGTAAGTATACTCTTCGAGGTGCGCAGAGCAATCCTTCGCGTGCTCATATGGGTAAGAAAACGAGGAAAATCATCCACTTGCACACCCCATGCCACCAGTTGAGTTTTGAGGTGTTCAACTGGGACCTCTCTGTCCGACCTATAGGGGTCCAGGTACATTGGTTCTGGTGGGCCTAAGCTTGTTTTTTGAACTGACCCATCAAGCGTCTCCCCATTGTTGGGGGAAACTACTGCGTGTACATGATTTGGAAAGTCGCAACATCCGGCATCTAGCCCAAGCCGGCGAGCTACGGCACAATATATGGCTGCGGATATGAGTGGCAGCGAAGGGTGATTTTCTTCCTGTAGCGCAATTCCGATGAAGTTGTTTTTGAGATCTCGGTATTGTAGTTCAGAGGCCATGCCAGTGAGGTCATTGTCTTTGAGAAAGCGGGCGGTCACAAGTGCTTTGCGGCGCTGAGATAGGTCGTGGAAATCAGTGTGGGTAGCTTCAAGCTTCTTAGCTAACTTGTCTAGCATATCCGATATCTGGCGCGGATTATCAGCATCCAGAACGTAATGGCAAAAATAAGAATAGATCATACATACTTCACAGAGATCCCCATTGCGGTCATGCAACACAAACATGTCAAGACAGCCCAGGGCACGTTCTATGGAAATGTCATCTCCTCTACTCAGTCTGTACCATTCGTCGAGCGCCTTGGCTCTGTGGATATGATCGAGGACAGAACTGCTGTAGAATCTAGTTGTCCAATTAGCTCTTCCAGCTCCCAATATATGAATAAAATATGCTAGCTTAATACGCACCTCCTCGCAAGTACATCGTCCGTATCGGTTTCTGCCTGGCAGTTTCGCAACAGAGTATCTTTGGCATCGTAGCCAAACTCACTTATGTCCTTCGTCTTATCTATGCGCCCTATTTGTTCGGAAAGTATGCTGTCTAATAGCTCAGAGGTACGGGTATCGATATTTTTTCGGTAAATATAAAGCTTTTTCCATTCCACATCGCTAACGTCGCCGACAAATTTCTGCTTAATTCGGTGTTTGGCGTCCCAGTAATTGAACTCGGTGCGACAATAGTACCGCCAGAGTAGGGGTTCTTCGCATAGTCTAGCAAACCGCTTGGACGCTCGCCGTATGCTGAGTATGGTTTGCTCGGGGCTCAGGTAGTAGAGAATTTGGTCCAGCACTTCATCGGGGAGGTCATTGATTGTTGTTGCTGGTGCCATGTCGAAAATATATACAACATATAAATGAGTCGCTTGCTTTGTTAATATATTGTGTAGATTGACATCCGCGGTCCGTACCTTCTTCGGGATATTGTCACTGCCATAGTAGGCGTATCATTGTTGTGATTCAGTATCAGGTAACAATATTCAGGGTGACGATGGCATGTTGCTCTTCGTCGCAGTCGCGGGGTTGGTTGGTAGTTGGGTGGTGCGATTACAAGAGCCGAATCCTCCAGCTCGTTATCTTAGCGTAGTATGGGGCACCATGCCCACCATGCCCATCAAGGTACCCCGCCATCGATGATGACCTTTATCTGTTACTGTACTTTAAGATGATTAGTATAAACCTCACAGCCTCGGGTTTATATATTCGTTTATAGTCGAGTATTGGCCAGCTCGTGTTTGATTCAAAGTCCTCCGTCAAGTTTAATGTCGACAGTGTATTTATTTTTACCCGTGATAAATTATTATAGGGTATTATTGTCATGAACTGATAAAATAATAACAATATAAATTAATTAAATATACGCGCCAGGCACGGAGCCCAGCCAGGCATCAAATATGTACCAAACCCGCGTCAAGCAAGCAAGAAAAACTATATACCCCATATACAACTCCATGCTTGCTCATACAACAATTGCTATACCCATGCGAAAGATGCCTGTAATATGCCACCCCATGCTCCCCTCCACCCCGGCTGTGGAGAACTGTACGACATCCCTCCAACGTCTCAAGGCAAGATCGAGGGTAACTGCTGCCGCATAGTGCCTGCCTCGACTACATCACCAAGCACTTCACATTGGCGAAGTCTTCGCCATACATCTCAACGCTAGCCGCGATGTCATTCTCCTGCTGTTTGGCCTTTGTTTCCTTCGGGAAATATTTCTTGAGGAAGACAGTCAAATTCTTGTCGACACTCGCTACAACCAAGTCAGCACCAGTTCGGACTATTAAGATAGCGAGTCACTAATAGCAAAGGCCAGTTGGGTATCACTTACAGGCATCTGCTTCCAAGACAACATCTCCTCGACAGAGAGGGCAATGTTTAGAATTGGCATTCTGCATCTCGATCATGCATCGTATGCAGAAAACGTGGTTACACTTTAATCGAACAGGTTTGTAAGATATGGTGAAGCACACCGGACAGAGATAATCGTCCAGCTGTGGGACAATGCGGATTATCTCGTTTGAAACCCCAGCACAGACGGCTTTGGCCATAGTTTCAGTCATGAGTAGGTCTGACTGTATCAGCGGAGGAAATGCCTTCTTGGCACCGAGGGATGTCCTCTTGTCAAATTCTAACCGAAATCAGTATGGAGTATTCATATAATATGGGGGGAGAGATGCTGACTTTTGAGAATTTTCGTGACAGCAAGTTGATTGATTTCCTGAAACTTCAAATTTCGTAGAAGCGTAACATTGATCCGTGTGAATCTATCAAGAGCATCTCGACTGTTGGCAAGCTTGAAGGACTTTGGTAGATTCAGCTTGGTAACTTGCTCTTGGAACCACTTGAGCTGTTTCAATGCCACGTTGCTGTCCCTACTGCCGCGATCAAACTCATTTGTCGAGAAGAACACCCCGGCTTGGAGATACAAGTCAAAGATTGTCCGCCAGCGACCCATATCGGTCTTATTGTTTTTGGCGGGGAAAGCCAATTTTCCAATTTCGTCTCCTAGAGCCTTTATCTCGTCTGTCATGGCCCTTTGCTCGGCCTTTTGAATTTCATCCAAAGAAGACACTTCGTCCTTCAGCAGTCCAAAAAACTCGATGTCAAATGTCAGAGGCACCTCTACCTGCTGGACGTCCGAGTTGGCATCTATAAAAGGCGTGGTAGAATCAGCATCCGCGTTAGGCATAGCATCTTTAGACTCGACGATGTCTCCAGGCTGGCCAGCAGCAGCGCTCTGGCCACGTTCCTTTGCCTGTGCATCTGCAAGATTCTGCAAGTACTGCCGTGTACTGGGTGATAGAGTAGCATCAATAGCAATATCGCTTCCCTGAGTCCGCTGGATATAGAGAGTCAAGGTCGGGCGGAAGACATCAGAGTCGCCTTCGAGACAATAATTGTAAGCTAGAGTTTGGCTATGGATAACAGGTCACGGGCTTACCTGCGAACCTGTATTTGAACCCTATGGGGGTGCCATCGTTACTGTTTTGATCCTTCTGGTCGCTGGACGGCACCAAGAGACCCAGAGTTTGGGCATCTAAACCAAAACTTTTAAGCTCACGCTCCACCTTCTTAATACATTTCTTCAGTTGGCCATAAGGTATCGCAGCTTCGACCCAGTGCGGTGGAAACCCTTCTCGCTCCAGGGCCTCCTTGAACTCATGAGCGAACTTCATGTTCGCGGTAGGTCAGTAGGGCGCCAGTGGAAGTTCCGATAATCATATGGGGAGGACCGCTCAGGATGCGTAGTAGTTATCTTATCGCAGGTATCTCTCTTGGGGTTGATATGCGTGTCTCAGTCTCTCTCAGTCGCTCTCATCACTTTCTTTTAATGACGGGGGAGCCTAGGTATAACTCTGTTCTCCGTTACGATGCCCATGCTCATGTTGGATAATGCAGCGCGTGACCCTGTGGCAAATCTATAAGACTGAGGCGGCTTTGCTTTGCATGTAAGAATTATCTTGGCGTTGTCGAAGTTTTGTACGTAGTGACAGGATAATTTAGGTTTGATGCGAGGTTAAGTACTTTTGATGGAAGCCAGTGGCGGTTCTAGATCTTCTGCCCTTGCAACCTTGAACGATCATTAATGTACCTATATTAGGTAATCTTCACGTGAGTGACATTGTACTAGCCTATTTGGGTCTAGATTTTTAGTAGTGGCGTTGACTCAATAGTGCACAAACTTTACTATGGGATAGAACTGTACAAAGTACTCGGTACGTACACACACACAACAAACATTTCGCGATAACGACTGGCTATCAGTGCGGGCAGCGTCCAGAGTTCTCCTCATATAAATAAATTATAGGGTCCTATGGGAATCGATTTTACCTTCTGTGACTGAAGCAAGAAGGGTTTTTTATATTCAGACGTTGGTCCTTGTCCACAAGCTGTGAAACTGTGACACACTATAAAAGCCCAGCTTTATTCTGCTATTCTGCTTATTCATATCGACAACATCAAGAGACCCGTTGCATGTCTCTGCTGCGGACAGTATGGGCGCACAGCAGTCGTCGAACCAGCAAAAGCCCAGCGAGCAAGGGGATGCCGGAGGTCCCCATGTGAAGACCTGTTATTATCAGTTACTCGGCGTGGATCGCCAGGCCAGCGATGATGAGTGCGTAGATTGAAGCAGTTAAATTTCGTCTCCAGCAAGAGCTGACTGGCGTCTAGGATCAAGAAAGCGTACAGAAGGAAGGCGTTAGAACTGCACCCCGATCGAAATTACGGAGACGTTGAAGATTCCACCCGACTATTTGCAGAGGTTCAATCAGCGTACCAGATTTTGTCTGATCCCCAGGAACGGGCCTGGTATGACTCCCACCGAGATGCGATACTTCGAGATTCCGACATTGGGGCCGGCGACCACTTCGAACACGATATGCGGTTCACTAGCGCCACGGACCTGACTATGTTGATGGGGAAATTCTCGCCGAATATGCCCTTCACAAACAGCTTGGACGGCTTCTATGGAAGGCTTCAGTCCGTGTTTGAAGCCCTCACCAAGGAAGAGGACGCTGCATGCAACTGGGAAGGCCTGGATCCGATCGACTACCCGGAATTCGGAACTTCCGAGTCTAATTATGACGATGTCGTCAAGCCGTTTTATGTTGCATGGGCCAGCTTCTCAACCAGAAAGTCATTCTCATGGAAAGACGCGCACAATTATGCGGATGCTCCTGATCGTCGAGTTAGAAGACTGATGGAAAAAGAGAATAAGCGCCTACGAGACGAAGGAATCCGGGAGTTTAATGATGCTGTGAGGTCGCTCATAGGCTTTGTGCGGAAACGGGATCCCAGGTACATCCCAAACACACAGTCCGAAGCTGATCGACAACAAGCACTGAGGGATGCGGCAGCAGCTCAGGCTGCTCGCTCGAGGGCTATGCGCGAAGCAAAGCTCAACGAACACGTTCAACCTGCATGGGCACAAACTCGCTACGCTGAAGAGGAGGGGACCTTCTCAGACTCCGAGGTATCAGAAGAGGAAGTAGTAGAATGTGTTACGTGCAACAAGATTTTTAAGAGCGAGAAACAGTATGAAGTCCATGAAAAAAGCAAAAAGCATATCAAGGCCGTTCGAGAATTAACGCGGCAGATGCGAAAGGAGAATAAACTCTTCCATTTAGATACCCCAGTTGATGCTGCGCTTCAATCTAAGCCAGAGAATTCTGATTCCGAGGCCTCATTTCACTCATTACAGGATGCTGCCGATGACGACATTATACCTGTTGTTGGAATTGACAAGGCTGATCCCGAGATTGGTGTTAAGAACGATGACATTACTGGCTTTGACCCGCCTCCGAAAGAGAATGAAGCGGACCGCGGTCCTATAGAAGAATCTACTACGCTGGCAATACCAGAAGATGGCACGGATGACGACGATTATGCACCCAGGGAGCAGGTGGAGGATAGGATATCTGGGATTCTACTCCAGGAAACGCCGACAACAGATGGTTCTATAAAACCAAGTGTAGTTGGCAATGTGACACGGGCACTCGATAACATCTTAATTTCAAGCGACGGAGGTACAGACGAACCCCCCACAGAAGAAAATAAGAAGCTCGGGAAAGCAAAGGCGAAACGTGCAAAAAAGGCCGCCCGTCAGCAGGCGGAGGATGATACCCAAAATGTAAGAATTAACTCCATTCAACCACCGCCAATGCTCACAGTATCACAAGAATACATGCGCTACCTGTAATAGCTCCTTCGGTTCTAAAAACAAGCTCTTCGATCACATCAAGGCAGAGAAGCATGGCCTGCTTGTTCCAAAGCCGAAGACTGGTGGCCGCGGCAAGACATCCCACTGAAAACCATAAGTTGCATTGCAGAATAGTATGCAACTTTATAGGTATGGCCTGAGGCCCTGAGGTCATCATATGCCAGGTACCCCAAACCACACAGATAGCACCGCCACTCCTCAAAGAGTCCCTGATCTCGGCAATCGGCATATGCCCAAATTTATATCGCATATGGGCGTGGGTGACGGTTAATTCGAGGTTTCAGGTCGAACGGCTCCCTAGATAATCAAGAATGGGGAGGCTCTTCGCCGTAATCTTCACTGTCATCCTCGTCGAATGACTCGACATCGTCAATGGCGCTGTCGCGCTCGTGACTCAGGCTCTGTTGAGCCGGATCGTTGGCGGCGATATGCACGATACCCTTGCCAGGAAATCTCCTAATCTCATCGGACCATGCCTCCCAATCCTTTTCATCTCGGATAAGAAAGCCAATAAGCATGCTCGGGTCCATCTCTTTGATGTCCAACCTTCGCAACCGTCGGGTATGGCAGGAGTCAATTTCTGCAGGGGTATATTCATCAACATCTGTATGGAAAGGAAGGGCAGCCATCGTCTGATGCGGATCAAGGTAGAAGAAATGTGAACCTTGAACCCCAACAAAATAATGAGAGGAAGATGGGCGGCCACTGAGATTGACTGTCAGAGAGTGTATTGAGTATAACGGGGGGCGGTGGCAACATACCCTGCAATCCCCACTGATTGTGGCATCTGCAGTGATGCTTTTAACGCCTCCCAGTAAACCGGAGTAACTTTATCTATACCTAGACGTGTTCCCACAAGTATAAGGGTAGGTTTGAAGTTCACACCATCAGGTTTGGCAACACTCATGAAACCATCCTTGTAAACGTCCGACCCATCGCCAGTGATATAGACTCTCACATCTGCTGATTCGTGGCGTTTTGCCAGTTCCCTGTTGGGCGACAATCAATATTTAAAATACGTGATCTCTCAGATATGTGGGTAGGCTTACTGTATACATCGTGCTGTGGCCGATGGTCCGAACCACTGCCCGGGATATTTACCACAAGCTTCCGCGCCATGTTCGACAAACTTGTGGATGGAATACGGCGCCCTAGGGTCATCTGCGAAGAGTGACACTATCTCTCGTTCTTCGTCTCTGCCCACACCACGACGCCAGCCTATGAGTGTCAGACATGGGATGTCGTGTTAAACTATATGTTGAACTATACGTACCTCGAGAGAGTCGCAGTATCACCATGGAATTAGCCAGAAGACTCTGCCCCGACCTGATCATACAACCCCAGCCAGTATCTGAAGAAAACCCACCCTGATCGCTCAGTTGGCTCCGTAGCCGGACTGAGAAGCTCATCGCAGAGGAAGCTTTCGGATCCTCTGACCTTGGAATAACGGGAAAGCCAGTTCGGTAGGAAAATCGTAATTTAGATTCGAAGTCGTCAAGGAATGCAACTGGCCAACCTCCATCTTCAACATCTGATGCGGTTCCCTCTTGAGAAAAACCAGAGTCTATACCTTCACCAACGCTTTCTGGAGGCTTAACCTCTTGTATTGATTTCTCGACATCAGTTCGTTTTTGTGGTGTTTCGTGAGAGCTATCATGTGAAGGTAAGTCCGTATCACCAGGAGCAGAGGCGTGCTTCGACATAGAACTGGCCGTATATTGATCTCCTAGACACCACAGTGGAAGATCTGAGCTGTCGAGGTTGGTTGGTTCTGGATCCCAAAGATATTGTACAATGCGCTTGTAGCGGCTGAAATCTACAGCCGCCATCTGGTTGGACGGGCTTTGAGGATGTAGCCCAAATATTGCGGTGAATATGTTGTTAGTCGCACGCATAAAAATCGCCGTTCAGCATTCTATTAGGCAGCTGTAGGGATTCAGAGATGTGGATGATAGCAGGCAGGTGCTGATGAGGGAGGGGCAGGCGCAGTTGAAGTGCAGTGGAGCGCGTCATGTCTGTCACCCGGCATGCTACAGTACGTACTGTACGGCATTGCCTGGTACGATAAGGCATCGTTATCTTAGTGTGTTTGCAAGGATACTCGATGGGAGACCGCACAATGTTTATACGGACCAAGGGTTCTCCTTGATAACTCTATAAAGTATACATAAAAACACCTCCAGAAATACTGTTTTCAGTGCAATATTCCAGGCGCTGCTTCACAGACTGCGCAGCCCCATTGTTCTGGCGAATTTATTGTGGTGCGGTAACTGATAGGAGTCACTTCAAAACTTTGCTGGAGGCTGCAATTTCAAATTTTGTTTCTCTACACCTCTAAACCTCGGAGAAAATGATATAGATATCAAGCCTACGATGGTACGCTCAAAGAAAGGCCCCAGGGGTGGGGGAGCAGGCAAAAGCAATGGTAGAGGGCAGGGCCGACGAGGTCGTGGTGGTGGCCGTGGTGGCGGCGGTGGCGATGGTGGCAGGAGGCATGTTGAAGACGACGATGGAGCAGATTTTATCCCATTTTCTGGCGCGAGTACACCTGCATCATATCCACAAGGTCAGTTGGATGGCCATATAACCCTTCCTACTAGCACATAATAAACGAACTGCCACTGACTTATTCGAAGGATTCTCTTTACAAGCGGAGGCTTTAAACACTCAACGCCACGAGCCTTCTAGATTGTCCAATTTGCGACTATGGGATGCAAAGGTCAGCTTTGTTAGTGCCAGTATTCTTCCGTCACCCGAAACACCCGGCCCTGAGACTGCTATGGAATGCATGTCCCTTAATGAATCCGACAACGACCTTGGAATGGGTGGGGTTATGGACTCTTCAGAACAAGCCGGAAATATTCCTGAGGCAGACGATGAGGAAGGAAGCCATGAAAGTAAAGAGAAAGATGCCCAAGACGAGTTTATTATTGATACGGAAGGCAATCAATCTATAGAAACGAACCTGCCACCCCCGCAGATTCGATCATCATCGCCAACACCCTCAAACTCGAGCGAGGAAGTCATATTATTCAGGGGACGAGATAATAACGGCCAGTTCTTTGGGAGCCTACCATCGACTAAGCCCAAGCCTTCGAAAACATCCTCCCTACGCACCACAATTAACGATGACGTGACGATATACACCGAAAACAAACAATCCGCTGTTGAGAGCAGTTTAGCTACAGATGTGCTACATTTGTCTGGTGACAGGAGCCAGGTTAAAGGGAAGGGGAAAGGGAAAGAGAAAGGGCATTTGCCCGACACCCCATCTACCAACCATGTGGATTTTCAGAACAAGTTATCAGATTCACTTGATACGCCACCCTTGACCTCACGAAAGAGTCGACACGGCAGCGGCCGCAATCGTGAAATTCGAAGCGTCGAAGATGAAATGATGAACGATTACATCACAAATCTCGAAGAGCAAGGCTTGGATGTTCTGGGACACGGCAACGGAAGGGAGCTTGGTGACAACGACAACGACATATTTCAACGACGTGACTCTTCTCCTGATTCTGACATGGAACTGTTGGAAGAGCACTTGGACCCCTCAGATTTTCTCGACCAGGATACTTTGGAGATCCTAGATGAAATTTCCGGTCCCATTGATGCAGTACTGTCAAGGCGAGACGCTAAATCCGGTCTACAATATCTTGTTGCTTGGAGTGAGCACATGAGCGACAAGTCGGGATGGGTTCCTGCGTCAGCGGCAGCGTTAGTGACACCCCAGGCGCTTGATCTAATTGGCAAATTCGATGCCAACGAAAAGCTAGTAACGGAGAGCTTAGATGGCGACGCTGACGATTCAGATTCAGCGGATGATGATCTGACTGAAAGTACCGATTCCGAAGATGATGACATGGATCTTATACAGCGCCAGTTTGACAATCTAAACGATGAGAAAATAGCAAGGCTGCTAGCGAAGCAATTCGAGTTTGGATTCGACTCCTCGGAGTTAGCTTTGTTTGACGGATTAAATGAACCAAGCGGTGGCAGTTCGTCAACCGCACGGAACCGCAAAAGGGAACAATTTCAACGCAGGGAGAAGGTCTCGAGAACGCCCCAGAGTGGCTTTCCTTCAGCGACTAGGCTTGCAGACGCATATGACGGATTCGATGTCATGGATTTTGAGCGTCCTAGCTTGAAGAAGAAACCCAAGGGTCGCAAGGGTAGGCTACCTTTTGATGTTTCTGATCCGGAATTAGAGGCATCAATGCAGTCCGCGTGGGAGAACGATCGAGTCAAAAAGAAGCAGAGGAAAGAGGACCGCGAGCACCGGAGAGCCTTGGGGGTCTTAGGTATCCATCCCGACAAACCTGACCTCAGTATGAAATACAAGGAGGGCATGGGGATCATGGCAATCAAAGAAGAAATCAGGTTGTTTTTAATTGGCAAGAACACTACGTAAGCATACACCCCATACCCCCTCCAATATGGAGATACTAATGCAATGTTCTTAGGCTCGCTTTACCTCCTATGGATAAGAAAGACCGTATTGTGGTCCATGAAATCGCCAACGCCTTCAACTTAAAGTCAAAGTCTGTCGGTGCCGAACGAAAGCGATTCCCTGTACTTTATCGCACACATCGAACATCTGCCTACAATGAAAATGTTTTCACCTCTGTTGAACGAAGAATCTCTCGCCGATTCTTCCCTCGCATGGATGTCAAAGGCAAGAATCCTATGGCCAAAACAAGCTCAGGGTTCCGCGGCACTGCGGGTGGTTATAAGGATGGAGATGTTGTGGGAGGCTCTGCGCCAGAGTTGGGAGTCGAAAATAGGGGTAGGGCAATGATGGAGAAGATGGGATGGAGCAGTGGGACTGCTCTGGGCGCCCTGAATAACAAGGGGATATTACAACCCGTGTCGCATGTTGTCAAGACTACCAAAGCTGGGCTGGGATAATATTTGTTCGCTAGACGGCTGTACATATCAAAACTGTATATTATTTCAGTATGGACTCCTCACTGTCCTAAATCGAAGAATTTCATCCAATATCCATCCTAATCCCAATAAGACGAAAATGTACGGTAATATGAAATATTCGGAATCCGAGTATCCTCATCGCGCAGAATCCATGTTTCCAAGCAAACTGCTCTCAAATGATGCTTCAACAATTGTGATCCATCGAGGTTATCGTAGTTCGTCATTTCCAGACTCGGCATATTCGCATTCCAGTGCCATCGCCGAATAGTGAAATTGCGGTCCGAGATCCGGGTATCTGTCACGTTGCGGTTCATTTATCACATGGATCAAAGATGTCATAATGTTTCAAATGTGGCCTTCAGCATTCCTAACCCTGAAGACGCTTATTGTACAGCCACGTAACCCATAAAGCAGACCCTGAAGACATTTGCCCCCGTAAAAGCAGACCATCCATAACGCATTAAAGAGACCCGACCAGATCGAGCCCATGCTGGCCTTATCATCTGATTTAGATGACTCCGAAGACCGAACATATCCGAGACCCTGTGTAAAAACCCGCAAACAGAGAACATTTATTTCGCAGAAGACGAGTACTTGGTGACGGCCTTGGTGCCTTCCGACACGGCGTGCTTGGCAAGCTCTCCTGGAAGGATAAGACGGACACTGAAGAAATGTTAGAATGGTTTGATGTATAAGTTTACAATGTATACGTACGAGGTTTGGATCTCCCTGGACGAGATTGTGGACTTCTTGTTGTATGCGGCAAGCTTGGATGCCTCAGTTGCGACGCGCTCGAAAATGTCTGGATTGTGTAAGTAAATTGAAATGGGTGTGAAAAGTGATGAAAGCTTACCATTGACGAAGGAGTTCAGGATAGACATGGCACGGTTGGAGATACCGGTATCTGGGTGGACCTGCTTGAGAACTGTGGTGTGTTAGTTATGAACGTGACATTAAAGTGGCGCGATGGGTGATTTCGACGCGTTTTTGTTGAAATTTGGTTTGAATCTCACCTTTGTAGATGTATGAAGAGTAAGTCTCCTTGCGGGTCTTGGTGCGCTTCTTCTTCTCGCCAGTTGCGGCGGTCTTCTTTCCGGCATCCTTCTTCTCAGCAGGAGCCTTGGCTGCTGGGGCCTTTGCGGCGGGCTTCTTCTCGGCGGCTCCCTTTGGTGGCATGTTGACGGTTTTGGGGGGGGGTTTTTTTGAAGTTTGGGTGAAAGTTGAGAGTAGAATTGAGAATTGATTTGGAAGTTGTAGACGTGGGACGTGGGCGTTGCAGAGTGTGGGTGATAGATGAAGAGAGGAGAAAGAAGGGAAAGGGTTGACGGAGATGGAGGTCCTGCCACTTCTTATACCTCAGAGAAATGCGCGGTGGTGATTCGGGTACGCGAGGCACGTATTTAGCGCTAACCGGAAACAGAAGCGCGTTTCGACATCATAACAATTATTTAGTGGGGGGGCGCATCAACACACATCGCAGCTTAAGCGAACGCTGATTGGCTCGATTAGCTGCCATCCCCTCATCCCCATCAGCCCATTCGCGCCATTCGCGCGATTTCACCCAGCTTTGGCCTTTTTGGCTCGCTATCCCAGAAGCGAGTGATCCCATAAATCACCCATATTGCTGTCAGTCTTATAAAGTTCCATCAACTCCCACTTCACTCCGCCTTTCTTCCTTCCTTTTCCTCTCCTCATCTCTCAACAACCACATCAACCCACCACGACTATACACGTTTAACTTCACCGTTACTCTCCAATCAACAACAACACCCTCAATTTTCAAACCCCCCAAAACTCACTCAAAATGACTGGAGGCAAATCTGGAGGAAAGGCGTCTGGCTCCAAGAGCGCGCAATCGTAAGTTCACTCCCACACCTCACCTAAACTTCATCCAAGATACTTGAAGCAATTCGCCTCTCTTTGGCAATTGACTTCAAGAATCATCCCAAGTCTTTTTGGATTATGGATCTGCTTTATCAAGTTCACTTTACTAATTTGTTCTTCGTACAGCCGTTCTTCTAAGGCCGGTCTCGCGTTCCCCGTTGGACGTGTTCACCGTCTTCTTCGCAAGGGAAACTACGCCCAGCGTGTTGGTGCTGGTATGTTGCATATCTTTACGCGTTTTATCATTGGAACACATTACTGACGCGTCAAATAGGTGCCCCCGTCTACCTGGCTGCTGTCCTGGAGTACCTCGCTGCTGAGATTCTTGAGTTGGCTGGTAACGCCGCTCGTGACAACAAGAAGACCCGTATCATCCCGCGTCATCTGCAACTCGCCATCCGCAACGATGAGGAGTTGAACAAGCTTCTCGGACACGTCACAATCGCGCAAGGTGGTGTCCTACCAAATATCCACCAGAAGCTTCTCCCCAAGAAGACCGTCAAGGGCAAGGGTGCTGGAAGCCAAGAGTTGTAAACGGTTTTCTTCATGGGTTTCTGCAATGTTCTCGCTTTCATGATAATGGGGTGTCGTCCGGGATATGGGCTCACGGCTGCTTTTTGCGTTTTTAAGGTTGTACAATAGGTCCATGGCAATGGGTCGGGATTGATTTTCAGAATCAATCTTACGAAACTATCAATATTTCAAATGACTTTCTTCGTGACGTGAAATATCAATTGCTTGCTTTCTCAAAATCATCCGGCGTTTATTTAGACGCGTGTATCTCAAATCCGCCGGTCCATATCTGGCAACAAACAGGCGCGTCTACTCTGAGTTTCGCGACGCAGGATTCCATACCTCGCAACCCGATCCGTAAATAACGACAGTCCAAAAATCTGGTAAAACATATTGTGCATTTGAAGCTCTTTAATTCTCTATATACAACGACCAGCCTCCCACTGCACCAAGCTCCATCTTTATGATCTCTAATAGTTCGTGTTGGTAGGGGCTACGCGCGCAATTAGTTTGTGTCCCCATAAATGACCAACATAGCAATTGACACTTACGCTCAAGGGTAGATGGTGGAAGGTTGCGCTCGTATTTGGAACCTGTAGCACAATTTCAATCAGTATATGCCTATCCGATGTCGATAACTGAGGCCTTGACATACCTCCTGGGCTTGTCGGCACACGGTATGGATCTGGGTGTTTCCATTTCTCAAGCAAGTCTTCTGTTTCCCTGAAAAGGGCCTACGAGTCTAGTAAGTACTCGCTCGTTCGTTGCACTGAGCAGATGCTTACCCTCTGTTGCCGTGGGTCCTTGACGTTTTTATTGGCCTCGAACAATGATCGGAGATAGAGCGCTTGGCCTCTCCAGAGGTATCTGTGGACGGACCAGTCCAAAGCAAGCTTCAGGGAGCGTCGGTATAACGACCTTTGTTTGTGTCAGCCGGCAATGTCATCTATTAGATGGGGGGGAACTCTTACGACACGACTCGAGTGTTCGACATGGCTGGAGCTCTCCCTTGATGTCGCTCTTCCTCAACAGGCTACACTTTCAGGGTGGTCGTATGGTACTAACAACGTAGAGCAAGTTGTCAATGCCCGAATTGTTCAATGGAGGTGCAATGGCTTTCGTATGGACGCAAGGTAGCGGTGCGAAGTGCCATCCGAAGTTGCGCTTCACAACCTCGACCAATCCAATAATTCATGCCTCAGGCAGCACTTCGGTCCGGACATAGTATCACCCGACGATACTTTGTTATTCGAGACAACTGGGATTGGGTACGGAGTAACCGATTTACTGAGGCTTTTAAAATTGTAGTTCCTACAACTTACTCCGACCAATTTGTCGTTCCTCATTGCCCTTTTATTCCATTTTCAACAATCGCTCAACATGTTATCCCGTCGGATCTTGCTCGCCTCGAAGGTGCTGCGAGCACACCGGGCACCACAGATGCGCTATGGATTTCCAATTGTCCAGCAGTTCAGATCCTACGCCGACACCATCGTCAAGGTTCCACAGATGGCAGAGTCCATTTCGGAGGGCACATTAAAGCAGTTCTCGAAACAGATCGGAGACTACGTGGAGCTGGATGAGGAGATTGCAACAATCGAGACTGACAAGGTCACTATTTACAGCTCTAGTATACGTCACGCCAAAGCTTACTTTCTGACAGATTGATGTCGCTGTGAACGCACCCCAGGCCGGTACTATTAAGGAGTTCCTTGCCCAGGAGGAGGACACCGTGACCGTTGGTCAAGACCTCATCCGTTTGGAGCTTGGAGGAGAAGCACCGGCAAAGGAGGAGTCGAAACCTGCCGAGACCAAGGAGGAGAAGTCGACGCCTTCGGAATCGAAACCAGCAGCAAAGAATGAGCCAAGCCCACCCAGAAAGGAGAGCGCTCCTGCACCAGCACAAGAGCAGCCAAAGAAGGCATCCCCTCCACCGAAACAGTCCGAATCCAAGGCCAATGAGTCGAAAACTACTTCCGCACCGGGTAACCGTGAGGAGCGTCGCGTGAGTAGCTTGGGTCTATACTAGTTGGGTTACTGATACTGACTTCTCTCAGGTCAAGATGAACCGCATGCGTCTGAGGATAGCTGAGCGCCTGAAGCAGTCGCAAAACACTGCGGCTTCGCTGACAACATTCAACGAGGTTGACATGTCTTCGCTCATGGAGTTCCGCAAGCTCTACAAGGATGACATCCTGAAGAAGACCGGTGTCAAGCTGGGCTTCATGAGCGCGTTCTCGCGTGCCTGTATCCTTGCTATGAGGGATATCCCGGCCGTCAACGCTTCCATTGAGGGACCAAACGGTGGTGATACTATTGTCTACAGGGACTACGTGGATATCTCCGTCGCTGTTGCAACGGAGAAGGGGCTTGTTACCCCAGTTGTCCGCAACACTGAGGGCCTGGACTTGGTTGGCATTGAGCAGGCCATTGCGGATCTCGGCAAGAAGGTGCGTAGTATGACTAATAGTTCCCGACTCTGACTAATGCATTGCTAGGCCCGCGACGGCAAGCTCACGATTGAGGATATGGCCGGAGGAACATTCACCATCAGCAATGGTGGTGTCTTCGGTTCGTTGATGGGTACCCCCATCATCAACCTTCCCCAGACTGCTGTCTTGGGTCTTCACGCCATCAAAGAGAAGCCAGTTGCTATCAACGGAAAGGTTGAGATCAGACCGATGATGTACTTGGCGTTGACCTACGACCACCGTCTGCTAGACGGCAGGGAGGCAGTCCAGTTCCTCGTCAAGGTCAAGGAGTTCATCGAGGATCCCCGTCGCATGCTGTTGTAGATTTAGCGTAGCGATGCTGTTGTAGTCGGTAGTGGCGAGGTTAGTTGGGCTCCGGTATCCAACTTGGATTATGGAGAGATGTATAGTAATAGAAGTTGCGCATGGTTTAGCACTGGCGGGCTCAAAACCATATGTATTGTAGATGGTAATACAGGGAATGTGCTTTACGTTTGCTACGTGGGGGGAAGGTCGTGTCTGATTGTGCCTGTGTTTGTGTTTGTGTTTGTGTTTGTCTTGGTGAAAAGTGCCGTAGTGGTAGCCGTGCCAGTGCCGCACGTCTCTCCGGGAATTTATCTTACAGTAGCATTAAGTGTTGGGATGCTCTCTCAACAGTACAGAGATTTCCCTTCTGTTTTTATTCTTTGCAGGGAGGCGTATGTATGCGTGGGGTCTAACTTGTAGGTATGATTGATGAACACAATGGTTGTTTTGGAGTGTTGAATTATTAATTATTTTTTGATTATCTATAATAAATAATACAATATTTAATTCGAGGCCATAGACATCATAACACCATAAACTTAATATGTATACAATACACAACAGCAACACCAGGATACAAGAGACCAGCTGATAATCAGCAATCAACCACTAGAACAATATATTTAACCCGATACATTTTGCTTGGGTATAGCAAGCAAGAGGGCTGTTGAATGAGCAATGAGCTTGACGTCGGGATATAATGCCGACCCCGAGCGTACAAACCCGACGACGGAGAGAGAAGCCGGATTACATAAGCAGATTTTTGGATCGATATTACTTGAACTGTCAAATTGCAACTGCTCGGGCAGGACTGTCAAACCCTCTACTGTACGGAGGAGATTCATAAAGTACTTGTACAGTATCCGTACGTACAGTACAATACCTGCACAATATTATACAAGCCGATGCTGGTGAGCTGTCGGATGAAACGGAGATATGTGCATATTCCCGGCGTGGCTTCGTTCATCTGGTGGCTGCAGAGCTTCCCTCGATAAGGCTGGGCTAAGCTGGGCTAAGCTGGGCTACTGTAAGCTGGGCTGTTGGTCAGCCAAATCCCAGCCAGACGTGGTGCTCCAGTACCGGCCGCTATAACCCTGGAAACGGCAGTTGAGGCGTCAGAGGTGTGTGTACAGGAGTGTCCAGGAGTCTGCAGGTATGGTCCAGAGCGTACGAGTGTGTGTGCACGCAACTGGATGCGCAAGAGCACGCGCAACATCCACGCGCCATCACACGGCCATGGTTGCCCATGGTTCTTTCCCCGGATGATTCACAGATGGGCCTGTAAGCTTGTAAGCCTGTAAGCCTGTAACCCTGTAGCCTCTGTTTGTTGAAATGATGTATCCCCAAGCCAAGCGAGCTATCATCGCTTGACATCCCTTGACTTCCCGTGCTTCCCGTTGTCTGAAGAGGATAGAAAGGATGAGAAAAGGATGGATATGCCTGTAAGCCCGTCAGGCCCTACACCCTCCCCAGTATAAACCCCACTCACCGCCTTCACAGGGATCTCGGATCCCCGGAAAGGCCGTCATCACCGTCATCACACTAGGCCAGGGCTGGTAAGTCGCCTACCTTATTTGACAAGTGGACCCTTTATCATCATCAAATTGAACGTCGCTGCTTAGACTATTTCACACTATTTCACACTATTTCACACTACTTCACACCATTTCTGATTATCATATGTAAATCTAAAACCTTTGCTACCTTTGTTGACAAACTCATACACAAACACACACTCTCTCTCTCTCTCACACACACACACTCACACACTCACACTTACACACATATACGTACACGCCTGTACAGCTCTACAGTACAAACCAAAAACCTACAACTGTACAACTACACAACTACACAACTACACAACTACACAATTACACAACTATACAACTACACAGTACAACTCTACAGCTATCTCCATGTACCTCATCACTCCATTCTGTATGAGACCGTACTGTTGCATTCCATCGGTAATGTGACTCTTCTGCTCTGTCTTGTACTGCCGCTGTACGATATACATATCCCCAAGCATCACTAATGCACCATCGGACATCCGTCGACAAGGGAAGCGTCCCCTTACCGCCCTGCTGCCTTATTAATTGACTTCCTTACTGCCATGCACCTGGAGTCTCCTCATCCGTTCCTTCCTCCGTCCCATCATCCCTTGGCTCCACTAGCAAGCCCCCCCGCCCGCCACTGACTTTGTTGACCTTCATGCCATCTTCGCCGAAACTTCCGATTTCCCATGACTCTTTTTAACATCCCTCTATCCTCCTTCATTATCCCAACTCACTCCTCTCACTCACTCACTTCCCTCTCACAATAATACCCTACTGGAATCCAACATCATCTTATTGTCCTCTCATCCTCTCACACCACCTATAACATATTGACAAATTGACATATGATCCTTGCCTACTTACCAGACAAGCTACAGCCATTCCCCAAAGGCCTTTGAGAGGAGGACCATTCCTATTCACCTAACAATACACACTGCCAAACAGCCACACATGAGGACCTGTCCAGAATTTACCAAGGCAGCCCCGGCTCTGTTGGTGCTGTTCTTTGCTCTCACGGTCTCTGCACACGGGGATGAAACCCACATGACTGCTGATATGGATATGGGCATGACGACCGCTGGCGCTGGTGCGCCGTTGGGCACTCCATCCAATGGGACGCTGGAAGTGCCTCCCAGTTACTTCCGACACCCAGAATACTCACATTTGATCCTCGCTCACATTGCTCTGATGACAATTGCTTGGGTCTTTGTGCTTCCAATTGGTATGAACCTCCGATAGCCCTAGGAATGAACATATCTGACGTGAACTAGCTGTAATGCTCTCCATTTCCCGCTCGAGACTGAACCTCTTAGCCCAATCTGGCTTTTTTATAATAAATATGGGAGGAGTTATACTTGCGATGCTCTACAACAGCAGAACGCCGGATTTATACCCCCACAACGCGCACCACACGATCGGATGGCTGCTCACCTGGGTCACCGTTGCGCAGATATGCTTGGCACTGATAACAGCATCTGCCAGGCTGGGAGGAGAGATCAGAAGCTCCGAGGAGCAACTACCCTTTATGCAAAGCTCGGAGCAGTCTGTGGGAGGACATCAATGGGCAAACGGCGCAGAGAATGCCCCGGGATATCGATTCTCGGACGATAGCGGGCATGGAACGGAACAGAACGACGAATCTCTCAGAGGCAACTCGTCTTCCTCATTGGAAGATGACCGAGATGTCATGAACGGTATAAACCGGAAGTATTACGAGGGTGAGGGTGATATACTAGCTCCGAGTTCAAAACGGAGCCGACATGCGCTCATGAAGAGATTGCGTGCTGTTCTTGCAGGCAAAGTTCCTTTATATATCTCTTCGCGCGTAACTGGTTTACTCTGTACACTCGAGTCTATCATCACACGCACGATATTGATACAAGGGTTTGTGGCTATAACCACTGGAGCTGTGACATATGCTGGAATTTTTGTATGTACCCGTAGCCCACCGAATAAGTTGTAAATCTAACTGGCTTTAGCGAGGAAGGGATGTGTTTTCTGGGCTTGCCCATTTCATCAAGGGAGGAGTGTTCTTCTGGTACGGAATATTCACGTTAGGCCGCTGGGCCGGAAGCTTTGCAGACCGTGGTTGGGTGCGTATTTTCTCTCCAACACGTACTTTCTTGCTAACAGCGAAAGGCTTGGAATATAAAACCTAGAACTTTTGGCAAGTCGGAAAACGCGAGCACCATCTCTGCAGAATTTGTGGAAAGCTTCCTTATATTCTTCTATGGGTCTACGAATATATTCCTAGAGCACCTGAATGCGTGGGGCGAAGCATGGAGCGCCCAGGACATGGAACACATCTCCATCACAATAATGTTCATTGGGGGAGGACTGGTGAGTGAATTAATAATGGCATAATATCCTTTAGATACTGACGGATTAAGTGCGGAATGTTAATCGAATCGACTGGAATCCGAAACCTGTTGAATATCAACACCCCGAAAATTTCCCCTAATAGGCCAGTTGACAGTCCATCTACAGAAGGCGAAGACGAGGAACCAAGCTGGCAGCCCCCCCAAAGCTACAAGATCTCGATGAACCCCATTCCGGCATTGATGGTGCTTCTCTTGGGGATTATGATGAGCTCTCACCACCAAAGCTCGATGGTCTCGACTATGATCCACAAACAGTGGGGAACCCTTTTGATGGGCGCTTCCTTTGCCAGAGGGTTGACGTATATTATTTTCTACTTGTCACCACCAACGTCATTTTTGCCCTCGCGACCACCCTCGGAGCTCATCACAGCTTTCTGTCTCATGGCTGGAGGTCTTGTGTTTATGGCTAGTGTAAGTGTTACAGCCTGCTTTATATTGTTGTATTGGGAGACAGCTAACATTTATTACAGAGCCGTGATACGGTTGTATCGATGGAGTATAATAACCTGGATGCCATGTTTGTATTCACTGTGACAATGGGTCTCGTGAGCTTCCTCATGGCATGGATCATTCTCAACGTTGCAGTCAAGGGCTGGGCATTACAGAAGGAGAGGAGGCGCAATAGACTTTAGATAAGCGGTATGATATCCTTTTGCTAGTTTTTAGATGCGGCGACGTGATACCATTTGTTTTATTCTGGGGCGATTTTGCGGGAAACCTTAATTTAGTTCATGGAGGAGAGGCGGGGGATTAGCTAGTTAGTGCAGCTAGGTCTTAATAATGAATATGGGGATGAGATCAACTGAAGTGTCATTGGCTATATATTAACCTCTATACATATATCCAAAGCGGATCTATATAATTCATTTCCAAGGTCTAATAAAAATACAACGGTCTTGCTTAAAAACCATCATTTCGGCCGATACACGACCCCTTCGGCGAGGAAGCGTGGCGTGTTGGTGTCATGGCTCGGCAATACAACGACGTCGGTCTGTCTTGCAAACTCCTTAATTAGCCTCAAGCTCTGTAGAGCACGGGCGGGATCATCGTTGATTCCATCCGGCTCTTCTTTATCCAGAACATCAATGCCGTATGTCGCATCTCCAGGGAGGACGTATGTCGTCGCTTCTCCGGTCCCGTTTTCCCCAAAGACCAGGAGGGCAAGATGCCCCGCTACATGGCCCGAGGTATCCACAGCGACAATCTTGCCATCAGATGTCAGCGGATAGGATTTCTTCCAAGGCCCAACAGGTCGATCTTCATAGTCGATGATCTTGGGCGAAAAGTTCTTGGGCCAGTGATTCGGCGTGGCTCCCTCCATACCCGCAAAAAAAGGGTGCTCGCCAAAAGCCTTCCAATGCTCGCGACTGACGTATACTGGCAGATCTGGTGAAGCGGCGATTAGGTCCTCTAGGCCGCCGGCGTGGTCATTGTGGAGATGACTTAGTATCACCGCCTTTAAGTCTGTTGGCTTGACGCCCTGCCGGCTGAGTAGCTGGACGATGCCATCGCTCGGCTCAATGGTGAAGTTGCTTAGCACCTTGTTGAACAGCGCTGCGCGTGGAAAGTAACCTGCATCATTGCAACATGGAGATTGGCCGGTGTCGAAGAGAAAGAGGCCCTCTCGGTGGCGAATGAGAAAGACCCCGACTGGGAGAGGGTGAGTCCATTGGCGGTCACAGACAGATCGCAGACGGCGGATGATAGGGTAGCTGCTCGCCGGCTGTGAACGCATCATTGGCCGTATCCTCACGGTTCCTGTCGACAAGAATTCCAAAATGGGCAATTTCGTGCTAGAGCTCTCATCTTTGCCATCTACAACGCTCTCGTTAACTACGGTGCTTGCATGGCCAATTTCTGCCATCGTTATTCGTTATTATGGGTAAAGTTCGACTTATCATCAAACTGTTGTCGTTACTTCTACGAAAACATATATAGTACTTCATGTTTGTTATAGAATAGGATCATCCAATGTTTCTCGGAGCAATAAACCCCCAACGGTCAAACAAACTGCCCGCCACGGCCGCTACTGCCGACTGTCGATCATCTATCTGCCATGGTAGTCTGGTAGTAACTACCGGTACTCGGTGGTTGCCAACCACCGATGAAAAGTGGATAGACGTAACCAGTCACGTGATTCAAACTACGTAATTATTCTTACTGTAAAGACTTTATTAAGATAATCAGGGTAATTACGAATAGATAGATGTAACGTAGGTCGTGGCGTAATGTCGGTAATGGCGTAATGTCGGTAGTGGGGTTAGGACCACCCCATCAACAGCCTTAATTACTACTACTATATTATTTTTCTTAAGTTATGGTACGACAGAAGAGCCAGAATGCTCAAGAACACGATAATGAAATAGCTAAAGCAGTCCTAGGAGTCCGAAACAAAAAATATAAGTCATCATATGAGGCTGCAAAGGTGTTAGGGGTCTGTGAGAGGACTATACAACGACGCGTTAAAGGTAGTAGCCTTACACGGACAGAAGCGCGACAGCAACAGCAACTCCTATCTAAAAACCAAGAGCAGAGCCTGTTAAAGTGGATTAAGGAGCTTACTACAAGTGGCTACGCTCCTAGCCATCGGATATTACGGGAGGTTGCAGATGAAGTCCGGTTAAATAAGTGTCGCGTTTTTCAGCCTTAACAGCTACAACAAACTCAACAACTACAAACTCTACAAGAACACATTCCTAACTTACCTCTTGGGCAAGACTGGGTGCCACGGTTCATTCAAAGGCATCCTAACTTACGTGTTAAGTTAGGACGTAGAGTTGAGGCGCAAAGGATGAATGGGGTGACAAAAGAGGTGTTGAAGGGGTGGTTTGACGCATACAAAAGCCTTATAACAGAGCTAAAAATCGAAAACTACAACACCTATAACATGGATGAGACTGGATTTTCAATTGGAACTATGCAATCTACACGAATTATAGTCGACTCTACGCTCCGTACGCGATTCCAAGCTCATCCTGGCCGACAGGAATGGGTGTCTGCTGTTGAATGCATCTGCATGGATGGAACAGCTATCGAACCCCTTATTATCTTTAAAGGACAGAACATCCTACAAAGCTGGATTCCGAAGGAGGTTATACAAAAATGGCACTTCTCTGCAAACACAAAAGGGTGGACAAGCAATCTACACGGATTAGAGTGGTTAAAACGCGTTTTTGAGCCCTCTACAAGAGCAAAAGCAACACAAAATGGAAAACTACAGCAACGGCTCCTTATTTGCGACGGCCATGACAGCCATATAAGCGGAAGCTTTATATCACACTGCATTCAAAATCGAATATCACTCCTTATACTACCTCCATATACATCTCATGTTTTACAGCCACTTGATGTTGCGATTTTTGGACCTTTGAAAAAACACCTTACAACTACACTATCACACCTTAATGAGGCGCAACTCCTACGAATACAAAAAGCAGAGTGGCTAGAAGCATATATAAAAGCAAGAGCAGCTGCTTTTTCAACTTCAAATATCAATTCTGCTTGGAGAGGTAGTGGGCTACAGCCATTTCAACCACAAACAGTCATTCGAGCAGCTACACTTCCTACTACAGACGTAGTAGTATTAGAACGGCCACATACTCCTACAGAGCATGATATTTTTGAGAAGGTATTCTTAAACAGCAGTCCACCTGATTTTCAAACACTTCACAAAGCAAATACAGTGCTCTCTTCTACAATAAGTCGTGGAGTTCTTAATACTCCTACAAAGCGATATATCAATAAGTTAGCAGATGAGTCAGAACGCCTTAATACACGCAACACCCTTCAAAAAAGAGAGTGTGATAACCTACGCTCAATTATTCAGAAGCGTAGGGCACAGAATAAGGGTAAACGAGCTGTTTTAAAGGGTCAATTCCACATTTCAACAGAAGAACTCCGGTCACAAGTTGTAGAAGCAGAAGCAGCAACAGCAACAGCTTCACAGAGGCCTAGAACAACGCCACAACCTATAAACGAAGCTGTAATTGAGGAAATGGATGAAGAGAGTGAAGAAGAGAGCGAAGATGATGATATAGATGAATTAGGGCTGTAGTAATTAAATTATTGCGATTTTTTAAAGCTTTTGATAGGGTGGTCCTAACCCCACTACCGACATTACGCCATTACCGACATTACGCCACGACCTACGTTATGCAATCTACACGAATTATAGTCGACTCTACGCTCCGTACGCGATTTCAAGCTCATCCTAGCCGGCAGGAATGGGTGTCTGCTGTTGAATGCATCTGTATGGATGGAACAGCTATTGAACCCCTTATTATCTTCAAAGGACAGAATATACTACAAAGCTGGATTCCAAAGGAAGTTATACAAAAATGGCACTTCTCTGCAAACACAAAAGGGTGGACAAGCAATCTTCATGGATTAGAGTGGCTAAAACGCGTTTTTGAGCCCTCTACAAGAGCAAAAGCAATACAAAATGGACGACTACAGCAACGGCTCCTAATTTGCGATGGCCATGATAGCCATATAAGTGGAAGATTTATATCACACTGCATTCAAAATCGAATATCGCTCCTTATAATACCTCCTCATACATCTCATGTGCTACAACCACTTGATATTTCGATTTTTAGGCCCTTAAAGCAACACCTTACAACTGCTCTCTCGCACCTAAATGAGGCACAACTCCTACGTATACAGAAGTCGGAATGGATGGATGCATATATTAACGTAAGTCGTGGCGTAATGGGTATAATGGCGTAATGGGTATACTGAAATGACAAGCGAATTTGTGTCACGTGATCTATATTTAAACGTTTAATAACTTTTTAACTAAGCTATTTAAAGTTTAATGCTTTTAGATTTAGAATATTTAGATACTTATATATTATATTTAAAAAGTTTAACTTATACACTAGCCTAATAAGTAAGTTATTATCATTTTTAGATGTCCTATACAAAAAATTT